GTTGAGACATGATATCATTTTCACTTTATTTTTGGATGATAAGTTAGTGTTGAACTTCGCGGTCAAGAAAAAAAAATATATTTTTTAAAAATAAATTTTAGAATATTACTGCATTGTTATTTGCCCATCCAATCCTTCAGCCACATAAATTTCTTAAGCCAAATAATGAAATAAATTTTTTTTTTTGCTTTTAGAGGAAAAACAAGAGGGGATTACATATTTATTCGATGAGACTCCAATAAATAAAAAGAACTATGTATTTTATTCCTTGGGACGATATGCAATTAGTAGTTAATCATAAGTCGATGTGTGCTTTGCATGTGAAATTGTTATAATAATTGTTAGAAAAAAAAAATCAATGATGCCTGAGTCAATCTGACGTAACTCGGATTGATCCGTATGAATGTCAAGGTTGGATAAGTTTTCTAACTTGATCTTTTTGATACTCAATTTAGTCTCAACTTAGATTAGTCCAAAAAAATCTAACCTTGATTATTATGCAAAAGATAGATTTTTATATTAGGTAAAAAATTATCCAATAAAATGTTTTTTTGAGAAGCAACCCTTAACTATTACCTTTTGGACTGATATCCAAAGGGATAGAACTTATCTCTATTTTATCAATCAAATAGGTACGTGTATAATTATGTGTTAGAAGATTTTTTATCAATAATAAATATTAAAATATGATTACACCGACATAATTTTCGTCATCTATTATTCCTATTGATATTGCACGTTTTGATCGATCTCCTTGCTAACTCAACCTTTAGTGGAATAGACCATTCCTAATCTTTTAAGTTGGCAACTACAACACTCATCTTAGTCACTCGGTGGAAAGAATATTAACATATGGACAACATGATAACACGTCATGTCTCATCGAACACATTAGACATCCATCGTGTCAGTTGCAATACCAATTGTTAGTGAATAAATTTGTCATGGTGGCTGATGAGTCGACACGGCTTGGTTCACGGATTGATGTCGGGAGTCTTCTGTCGGCTGAGCTGGATGCCGAGGTAGGCCGGGCCCTCGCGACGGGGTGTTGATCGACGTTTCTCGGTTCAGGCACCATTTGTGTTGAGCAGCGTCTCTTCGTTTTCAGGTTGGTGGGTAGCTTACCTTCATACACTAGATGACAATTCCTAGGTTGAGACACTCGCGGCTCGAGGGTGACCGCTTTCCTGCAAAAATTACCTTCGTCGGGTGATTCCTGACTTTGGCCCCTCTGACAAGCAAGTTAGTAGGTATTTTTCTCTTCTCTTTCCTCTTTTTTTCTCCTCCTCTAGTCGGATGCCAGCCGGGGACTTTTATACTACTGTACGAGGGTTGGTCGTACGCAGGTATGGCGTGGCGGCTGATACTTGAGAGATGAGATGGTACTTTTGTGCGATCGTCATCCTGGGACACGCAGAACGATGTTAAACGGCGTCGTTCCGAGCTTCCGGAATAGGACATACCAAACAACGCCTTGGTATGGGTTCTAACTTAGCGCGTAGGGGTATTCCCCTTGCTGACTCGACTATAACGTGGCGTGACATCGGTTGTGACATGTCTTAGACCCAAAACATACCTTATCACCAATCGCATGATAATATTGACTCAATACTAACGTAGTTATCCGATGGAGTAGAAATGATAGATGATTTTATATAATTATCTCATAAATAAATTCTTATGCAATATGACTACAAAAAGGATCTCGAGTGATCTATACTTCTATTTTACAAATTATTCTATTCCATCATGTAAAGCATCAAATAGATCTCTTATTTTTTTAATATTAAATTTATGATAAAGAGACTTAGATTATTTTTGTACTCTTCATGTGTACGAGTAACCAAAAGAAGAACTAATACTCGTCCTCCAATTCACTTGAATCTAACTTTCAGTTTAATAAATTGATAAGGTATATTATGGATCACAATCACGTCATAACCCATACTGCCTCACACCCCTGCCAAGTCAGCATGAGGGGGTACTTCCTCACGCCGAGCCGAGACTCGTACCAAGAGGCAGCCCTCACCAAGTCCCATCCCGGAAAGCTCAGGGCGATGCCGTATGACATCGTCTCGTACATTCCGGATGGCGACTGCACAAAGGTACCATCTCGTCCCTCTGGATCGATCGCCAAATCCATGTACGATCGATTCTCGCACAATAGTATAAAAACCTCTGATCGACATTTGGTCTAGGGGGGAAAAAGAAAGGAAGCAACTACTAACTTAATCTACAAGGGGCCAAAGTCGGGAACCCCCCGACGAGGGTCTTCTGTGCAGGAGCTCGGCCATCCCATGACCGCGACTAAGAGACACCTTGGTTGAAGACGACGTCATTTCCCATACCTCTCGATATAATCAACTTCAGCTCTCCTGCTAACCAACCAAGGGACACCTTCTCGGAAGACGAGGTCAATATCCTGATCCCCGACCCAGCCAGCTCAGATATTCCTTCCGACTACCGAGAGCTCCGGACATCGATACGTGGACCAAACTGTGCAGACTCCTTGAGCACGGCGCATTAGTTCACCAACACAAATATACTCAAATCCGATCTATATAACTATTTGTCTATCCAAATCTGGTCAAAGACATCCGAACCTAATCCAAATAATGTAGAGAAATCCATGCATCATCCGAAAGAGTAACGAGATGGCTGGCTAAGTCTTGTGATGAATGAATACAGGTAGATGCATATGAGCGCATGCGTCTCAATGTTGACTTCTCAGCAGTAGGTTGCTTGCCCTCTTGTCATCATTACATACGTGTCAACGTGTGGATGACGTGAAGGTGGTGGTTCATGCGTCGTTCTCCGCCTATAGCCGGCTTTCGATGAATGGTAACAAGTAGATGATTGTTTGCAGGTCGTGTGACTCTATCATGTCGATGATTTCTTCTTCCTTTAGCTTTCCTGTCAGTTCCACCATTAAACCTGCTTCGTGACATGGCATGTCACATTCCTACAAGTTATAATAAGGTGGGGCAATAAAGGACATTAAATTAGTGACTTGATGATTCTAAATTCACGTAGTCGACGATGATCCCAATCAAAGACTGATGATCGTGTATAAGTTTAAAATACCATTCGTTTCCGTTCCTAAATAATTCTTATCATAATGTGCATTTGGCTTCATCATTATGATTCTTTCCCACTATGACTATGATATGGTCTTTGTGCCAACTTACAATGATTTAATCAAAATGATTATGAACTCAATAATTTTAATGAAATAATCCTATAAATTCATTTTTAATATTAGACTTGAGAGAAAAAAGAGGCCCAATTCATCCTAGCTGGACTTGCATTAGGAGTCCTAAATTTTATCCACCATATTTTTTGATATTTGATGTAGGGTGACCAGCACTCCTCCTTATTATCAATATTGAGTGAGATTTCTAACATAACTCCTTAATGATTAAATTAGGTTCTCAAAGTAGATTAAGTATAGATAGGGGTAAAAAGGATTATACCTTGATAATTGTATCTTGCTTTTGTAATTGGTTCCCCCTTAGCTACTAAAAATCAACAGAAAATTTTTAGAATAGAAGTATTTTTAAAATATTATCTATTCGATTGATTTTGATATTGATGGATAATGACCGAAAAAGAATCCAATTTTTGTGACATGATTGGATGATGATAATTGATGTCTTTCTTTCTTTAAAGATATCGTATTGAGTTTTGAATAGAGACATTATTTTTTTTTGGACGAGGTCGATATTGATTTCATATAAATTTTTGGTCTTCTCCTTTAATTGTTATATCTCAAGAAATAATCAAATCATATTGTTGAAAAAAATAGAAGACAAGAAGAATTATTGAAGAATCTTTAATTTAAGAAACTTTTATTGAATTAACATGTCTCTCTCCTATTTATATAGATTACGAAGGAGGATTTTCCTCAATAAAATAAATAATTTTTCTCATTAGAGTAGAGAGATTTCTTCATTTAGTTGGGGAAATCTTATTTGCTATCATGCTCCCGCAAGATGATGCTCATATTGTTATTGTTGCTGCGACAGCAACGACGACGACTGCAGCAGAGGAGAAAGCTATAGCAATGTGGTGAAAGCATCATGCGCCGTTAGAGAGATTTCCTAAACTAGTAAATCTTTATCTAATTCTTTTATCTTTGGTTTCTAAATACAGAACTATCTAAACTAAATGAAGAGATTATTAGATGAGTTATTTTTCTCTCGAGTTATCTAAGTTAAATCCCTTGGATTAAGCTTTATGTCAAATGCAATCGTTCATATATGCTGCTATCTTTTCTTTTGTGAGCTTCAAAGATCTGAATCAAGTTCTTGCAGTCACCGTGTGATCGAGGGGAATCAAGAGCCGTCCACGACACCAAAACACGTTAATATGCGTGCAAAAGGCTAGACGACGGAGGGGTGCGGTGGCTTGTCATTGCCATGGTGGAGTTCAACCCTCGGAAGGTCGCACTCGTCGGCTCGCACGTCCCCATACGAGCCCGTCAATATGGCCTGACAAGGTTTAGGGCTTCATCAGTGTGCCAAATTCAATGACTGTAACATATGCCTAACGATCAATGATGCATGCATCACACCATCAACTGAGATTACAATGTGCCAACTGCCAGATGTGATGATAGCAGTAGACTGCCGAACATGTTGCGTATGATTCTACTGTTACGCACATTTTTATGTACGTTCTGGTGTGCTATATGATCAAAGTATGCAGCTCGCTGCTTTGATATCAGTGACCCGAGTTGATCAAACCAAGCAAGCGCTTAGGATGAAGGTGGGCGGTACAATGGACGGTCTAACATCCAAAGCAGATCATATGGTTAGATAAGTATTAATTGTCACGCGGTCATATTCATATTGATTTTTTTTTCATATTTTAAATAAAAGAATATTAGGTTGAGAATAGCCCACATGTCATCAGGTCCACAACCGTGAGCGAAACCGCCCACCACTCCGTACGTGGACTGTTTGCATCCTTAAAGATAACCGTAGCCTCCAAAACTACCCCCGACCGCCCACGAAACGGCCCCAGAAGTCCCCACCGCGCCACCCTCAGCCGCGCCTCTTCCTGCTCGCCCTGTCTACTACCTCAAATGGCCGCTCTCGCCAGGAGGTCCCTTGCCACCGCCGTCTGGATCGCCGATGCCGCTGCGTGGTTGCTGGCGATTGCCGTCGTGGCGCTCTTGCTGCTATGCTCGCTGCGGGAGGGACCAGCGTCGGGCGAGCCGATCGGGGGGGCGCCGGTCCGTGGCGGGAGGCTGATGGAGCGGCGGTGCGACGAGATTTACGTGGTGGGGGAGGGGGAGACGCTCCACACCATCAGCGACAAGTGCGGAGATCCCTTCATCGTGGAGCGCAACCCGCATATCCACGACCCCGACGACGTCTTCCCCGGCCTCGTCATCAAGCTCCTCCCCTCCGAGCCCAAATAGATGGGTGCATACATAACGCTGCTCTGCTACTCTCCGCTCTTCTCTTTCACACGAATATAGGATTTTGCACACCATACCATCAATTCAGTAGAAATGAACATATAGATTGAAGATGGAATGGTTTCTTTTCCGTTCTGTAATCTGTTTCCTTTTCTCGTGTCTGATGATGGAAGATGAGAAAAAACGATGAATCGAGTTTCAAAGTTTGGTCAACGAACCATCGTTCCTCGGTTTCAGTTGCGTTCGAATCGTTGCAATCACACAATCATGTCCGCTAGCCACAGTTTGAATTTTGACTTTGACTCGCCAACTTAAGTCCAAGATTGGATAGTCGAATTCGAGTCTCATACTTACTGGAATATATGTTTATTAGGATTCTTGCAGAGTTACAGTCATGCTCTTACGACGATCGGAATCCTCACAGAATGCATATCGGAAACCCACCACAAGTTTCCTTCTGCATCATTCACATTGCTGCTTTGCCAGCTCAAACTCACACTGTAGGTTTTCTTCTCATTCTCATGTGAGAACTCCAGCGTCTCTGGTGAGACCTTCGCTGATACTCCACTGAGCTTATCCACCTTGAGCTTGAATACGGTCTTCCCTGAGCAAAAACATGTCACCGTCCGATTCACCGTTATGTTATCGAAGCTCGCAGCTGCCGTTATCACTATCGCCGGGTAGTTCAGCTCCACGTCCTTGATCTTCTTGACGGTGTCGCAGGTGACTCTGCGGTGGGTGACGATCTCCACTTGCGCATCCGAGTAACCCAACCCACAGAGGTAGCCGATGTAATCGTCGGCGTTGAGGTCATAAAGAAGGCCGGGGTCAGCCGCTTTTGTTGGGTTGACATGTCCGGTTCCCGTCGCGAAGAATGTCGCAGGTTGGTGCAGCTCATCGGTTATCGGCTTCCCGTCGTTGGCCACGATATCCGAAGTCGTCATGATTGCCGATTTGATCGCCGCCGGCGACCAGTCAGGATGTACGGACTTTATAAGAGCCGCAGTCCCGCTAAGATGAGGTGTCGACATGGAAGTCCCGGAAATCATGTTGAAGAACACGGTGGCCGAGTTATTCGGGGAAGGGCCTACCTCGAAGGGCCATGCCGCGAGAATGTTGACGCCTGGTCCGACCACATCGGGCTTCAGAATGCCGGGGCTTATAGAGTTAGGCCCTCGAGATGAGAAGAAACTTATTGTAGGAGATGGAGAAACCCCCAGTATTGTGCCCTTGAAAGTGATGGAGGCCACCGGCTCCTTGGACGTGTTTACGTACTTCTCGATGCTCGATCCGTTGACGTAATTAAGATGCGATGCCGGGAGGACATGGGCTTCGGCCAATGTGGTGTAGCCATCAAGTTCTCCGTTGATGATCAACATGGCCGCGCCGCCATTGGTCTTCACTGTCTCGCCAAGTTGGATCCGAGAACCGAGCGCACGCTGACACACCACCATCTTCCCCTTCACCTCGGGCATGACCACACCAACCAGGCAATTGCGATATTCTTGTGAACTACTTGGCATCACCAGAGGCAGCATGGTGGACGAGAAGTTGGCCGGTTGAAAGGCTGTTTCACCATCGAACTCGAGACCGTTCCCGAGCTTGACGGTCGCCCTTATGTTCCGATCAATGGTGGTGGCGCCAACCGTTAGGATCCATGGAGCCTCATTGGAGAGCGTTGAAGGTGACGGGCCGGAGTTACCCCCAGCACAGCTGACGAAGATCCCTTTCTCGATCGCACTAAACGCCCCAATCGCGATAACGTCAGCGTACAGAGCACGGGGCCCTCCTCCGAGTGACAGAGACAGCACGTCCACCCCATCCTTGATCGCTGCATCCATCCCGGCGAGGACATCGGACGTTATGCAGCCGTCGGAGCTGCAGACCTTGTAGATGGATAAGTGAGCACGCGGCGCCACGCCAGCGGCGGTGCCGTTGCCACTTCCGAGCACGTTGGCGTTTTTCACGAAGTTCCCCACCGCTGTGCTCGAAGTGTGGGTTCCGTGCCCTACTTCGTCATCTGCAGCGCCTTCAGGTGCCGAGCCACCGCCGCTGCTTGTGAATATTCTTACTCCAATCACCTTGTTGTTGCATCCGATCCCATTGTGGGGACAATTCCCCTTCCATCTCGATGGTGGGGGTTCCATTCCATCGTCGCCGAATGATGGATGCCCGATCGCTAACCCGGTATCCAACACCCCGATGATAACACCCTTGCCCATGTTGGAGTTGCTCCAGAGGCCTTGGCCGGGTTGCAGGCCGAGTAGCTCAGGGGTGTGGGTCGTCAGGAGAGGCAACTTGACGTCCTGATACGACGCCAGGAACCCTTCCTTCTGCTCTATGTACCCGAGTTCCTCTTCTGTTAGCCTGGCAGCAAACCCAGTGATGGCGTCGCTGTATGCGTAGACAAAGCGTGCCACACTGGAGTTCGCAGCGATCGGCGGCAGCAGCGACCGGTACCAATTCTCCAAGGCTTGGGTGCTGGCGAAGGTAGCGTTCTCGGGAAGCCGCATTCGAATTATGTATGTCCGCAGCTTTGAAGCGTCGGCATCTTTGATTTCCCGGTCAATTGGAGAAGCATCAGGGGAAGCAGGCATCACTGGAGAAAGACCGGACAAAAGGAGGAGAGCAAGGAAACAGAGAACCCATGTGCTAAGATTCTCCATTGAGGAAAACAAGGAACTCGAAAGCAACAGCGGAAGAAGGGGTTTGAGCTCTGGTATTCAAGTTCCTGTAACAATGCTTGCATTTGTAGGGAGCCACTGTTGACTAAAGACAAACATAGAACGGTTTCTGAAGTGTTTCAGTCTCGGAAGAAGTCTGCAAGCAATTAAGAAGTGGGCTGAACCCGTTCCGAGCGTTGCAAAACGAACGGTCAAATGACAGTCTAACCGTTGACTTATCAGACAAGTTTCATCAACACTGTCCAACATGGCGCCCACGTGTACAGCTGTCCAGTATGTGAGACTGATCTCTTTCACCACGTGTACAGCCGCCACCATGTCTCCTTATTCAATAACGGTCGTTATAATCAATAACGATCATCTCGTTACATCTATATAACGACTGTTACGATTTGCTAGTATAGACTACATGATATAACGCAATCATACTTCCCAAAACAAATTACATCTAACCAATCAATTTAGCATATTTACAAGATATTTGATAAAAAAAATTTCTTCAATAAAACTTCTTCAATAATTGTTCTTATCTTCTATTATTTTCATCATGGTATCAGAGTAGTGAGAAAAGCGAAGCTTCACTCTTACCTTCGGCCAGCGACCAACATCGTTGAGAAAAGAGCGACCAACGTCGCTGTAGCCAAATTCCTAAGAGGTTCCGTGGTCAATTCTCATCTTCCTCACCGCGATAGTCTTCATTGATCGTCCCATCTGCTCACCAAGGAAAACGAGTGACGGACTTAAGGGGAATGAAGGGCGGACTTAAGGAGAACGAAAGGAACGCTTGTGCCAATCCTCATCTTCCTCACCAAGAAGAACGAAGGGCGGACTTAAGGAGAACGAAGGACAGACTTAAGGAAAACGAAGATAGCTCATTCCCTTAATCTACGATCTTTTGAAGACTCATTTATATCGATGGTTAACTGATACGTTTTACCATGATGGATGAATCTCGTTTATTCAGGCTTAAGTCTACAGCAAACAAGAGTTGTCGGAAAAGAGAAGAATGAGCCTCGTCAGAGGTTAACGATCCCCGCAAGTAAGCGGCCGAAAAAGAGGTTAACGATCGTGCGTATGATGTTTCTTGAAATCATGATCGGTAGGGGTGAAAGATTGCTTCCTGCTGCTTGCAGTAGCGAGGGGGAGGCACGTGGGCTCCTCCTTTATCCTCGTCACTGCTGAGGTGAAAGTGGGCCAAAATTAACATCTACTTTATTCCCTACCAATAACTCAATCGAGAAGGAGATGGAAGGGAAAAGGCTTTGCGGTGAATGGCATGGCGTGTATTTGGTTGCTGGCCATGATAGACCTGAAAGCGGAACCTTGGACTGTTGGGTGAGAAAGGAGAACACAGTGGTAGCATACTGGAATGCACTGCTCTGATATCATGTTTGATAAAATGTTTTCTGAACTAAAATATGTTTTGAAATGAACTAATATTTTATGGGAAAAGCGTCACCTCCGTTATCGGATTCGGATTCGGATTCTTCAGGACAAAACCCGTCATACCGGTTACCGACGCGTGGTTCTGTAGAACGAACGCGTTGTAAGGCAGACCAGCGACAGTGTCATGTTTCTTTCCGCAGAAGACTGACACATGTCAGACGACTGCTCTGTCCCGTCGCCGACGTAACGACCGTCGGACATCCAACGTTAGTTCCGTCAGCCAATGACGGTGGTCCCAGCCGTCGTAACTAACGTTCCGCCGTCAGTTTCATCCGTTATGGCGGTGGCTTTGGGTTCCTCGTACGAGGGAGGGGCACTTTTGACTTTTTGCGTGGCAGGGCTAACCCGCTGTTCTTTTTAATCCTGGCGAAATTGCAAGATGGCGAACCGACCAATCTTATGATTGTTGATGTGGGCGAGGAGAAGCAACCGAAGCTTGCGGGGTCAGAGACACTAACCCGCTCATCTTCTTCGGATCGTGTCGTGCGTGCTTCCTTCGTTTTCGTTGGCCCCGCGTTGCTTCCCTCTTCCATGTCCATACTGCTGCTCTGCTTCCGTTGCTCGGTCCGGAATGCCGCATGAAAAGAACTCGCCGCCGCCGGAACACGAGGAAGAGGAAGAGTCACAGCAGACACAGCCGCTACGACAACAGGGCTTTCCGCCTCACAAGGTTGCCCGCGTCTCATCAGATGAAGGTTACCGCTTTAGTCTTCTTCTTCTTCTTCTCCCTTTCTTTCTGTAAGTTTTAGCTCTGAGATAGTGTTGGTGGTGGCGATTGCTTTAGTGACTATGGCGGCGTCGTCGTCACTGATGCTGGGTTTGGGACTTGGGCTAGGGAGAGGGCCAGGAGCTGCCAAACCGGTCTTCACCTTCATGCAGCTGCAAGAGCTGGAGCATCAGGCCCTTATCTACAAATACATGGCGGCCGGCCTACCCGTCCCCGTCCACCTCGTCCTCCCTATCTGGAAGAGCGTCGCCGCCTCCTCCTTCGGCGCCTACGTCTATCCCTCCTGTAGTAACACCCCCCTCCCATCCTGATCTATGCCCTTCAACCTTGCTTGCGTCCATTCATTTGCTTATGTTGTCGTCCCTTTGGGATTTGGATGTACGTAACCGAGTTGTGCTGGCTCGAGGCAGTGACGGGCTACGGTAGCTTGTGCTTGGACTACCGCAACAGCATGGAGCCGGAGCCGGGACGGTGCCGGAGGACCGACGGCAAGAAGTGGCGGTGCTCCAGAGACGTCGTCCCCGACCAGAAATACTGCGAGCGACACATGCACCGGGGCCGCAACCGTTCAAGAAAGCCCGTGGAAGCAGGAGCTGCCGGTGGCGGAGACACGACCTCCACCGTCGTTCCCACGCCACAACACCACAGCAACAGCAGCAGCACCCAACTATCCATCTTGATCCCACCGAACGGACGCCAGCTGCTGCCCACGACGGCCGGCGGCGGCGGCGGCGGCGGCCCTGTGTCTCAGCCGGAGCTGGGCATTCTCCACAATGGCACTGCTTGTAAAACCGCGACCCCTTGAGGCTTTTCTGCAAGACCTTCTGCTCTCTTTAATTTCTGCAATCTGTGGCTTCTTGTCTGATCTCTCGGTTAGATTTGGCTGTCGGAGAAGACACCGCAGGCGGACACGCTGGTGCGCAGCGACAGCAGATATAGAAACCCAGGGTCCCATGAACCATAGTTCATTAGAACCCACCACCGTTTCATTCTTTCTCCTCTCTAGGTAAGTGGGTGGGTGGTAGCTTCGTCTCCGTTCTCGTGGGCACAGGCAGTGAGAGACAGCTCAGTGGTATGGCCTGCCATGGTGAATCAATTCTTCCCAGCTCTGACATGTCAGGGCGGTGGTGCAGCCTTATTTTGTATATGAAATTGTTCTGTACTGACAGCTTTGGTATACGACGACCCCATGTGGGGGTGCAATATGTACACGAGCACTGTTGTCGTTAATGCTGCACGCTTCACCGTTTGAAATGGAAGAAGATGCCTTCTGGGAAATCGTAGCTAAATGGAAGCCTTCCTTTTGATGCTTCGATATGTGAGTATGATCTTAAACTAATAGACACAGATTAAAAGGAAGCTTAGCGATTACGTAATATTGTTCCGGAAAGAGGTTTATGATGGCAAAGATGCGTTAAATCGGCGAGAAATGTTTCATAGAAAAATGTACAATCATGCGGAAGGCATATTAGTAGGAAGTGGTCAAGATATCATCGAACGAAAGTATGATTTCTCCCATGGATTTGATTGAGGAAAAAGAAACTTTGAGGGGACTTCTTGATATGTCGCATCAGTCTATCTTAGATAAATAAATACATAAAAGTGGTACTGTCTTTGCAAGTAACTTAATCAATCAAGTTTTTATAGCCTTCTCTTTCTGCTTTATTATCGTAAAATTATCTTTTATTTTTTTAAAAATAATATTACTCATAACCTTTGTGCTCTTTATGTTTCGTGATCATCATGTTGATTGTCAAACCTTCTTTACGTTTGTGATCATCATCGTCTTCTCTGTCGTGTCGATTGTCGAGCCTTCTCTATGTTTCATGATCGTCAACGTGGTGAGAAAGAAAACAATCACGATGGGGCTTCTCCTCCCTCCTCCTCGAGGGGCAAAAGCAAGACGGTATATGCTTTCAATGCAAGAGGTATGAAATATAGGAGACAAGAGAAGAGGGTCAAGGATGCGCTCCTTAAAAATGACATGACGGGAGGCTTCCAAGACAGAGGCAAGTAGGGAAATGATAACAACAATGTAAACTATGATGAGGAATAGAGGACAAGGAACAATGTAAACTATGATGGAGAATAGAGGGCAAGGGTGACAGCTTCGTGACAAAGCCTCAATAGCGCCTTATCATTGGCAAACGAGGGCAAGGGTAAGTTAGAGTGCAAGGGCGAGGATGAATGTGATGGGTGTGAGTGCGCCTATAGCGGCAAATGAGGGCGAGGACGCGATGACAATAACGATAAATGAGGGGTGAAGGCAAACATAATCGTTGACAAAACAGACGCTAAGGATAATCTCATTTTTTAGAAGTTGAGCATGTTATGTGAAAATAAAGTTAAAATAGGCGTAAGGAAAAAAAAAAAAAAAAAGAGAGGGAAACTTAAGATTTTTTTTTTGTTTTGGAATTTGGCCTTAAACATTCTTCAAAATCCTTAATAATCGATGACAAATGAAACACATGTCGATTACACTTGGTAGAGAGCAAGCTTGTAGTAGTGACACTCAATTAAGATGGAAATATATACTTGGTGTGAGTGTCAAATGAATCAGGTGATTCCATTAGGATCATTCTATCAATCCGATATTATGCATCTGTAAGAGAGATTAATCAGTGAGTTCACATCTTAGTTGCGGAAGCACGCGTGACTGAGAACTCGAGTGCACGCAAGTCAAGCGAGCTCGTGAAGGCTCGCCACTGTGTCCTCACCTCGTCTCCTCCAATTTGGATCTTTCCTTTTCTCAGTCTTCCCGTGCGCATTGCCACACCGAGATCGCTCACGTCCTCTCCACCCCCACCGCCGATCCCACCCGTGACATGTTGTTCTGCTGCAGCTCCCTTCCCCTTTCCTTTCTTCCAGAAAAGCTGTGGCCACCATCCATCAACTCTTCTCATCGGCCAACCACCCCCCAACCCCATAACATCATCACGTTACTTCGATTCGTGGCTCAAAATGCATGCACAGGTAAAAGGGATCCCATGTTCACGTACATTCGTAAAATGTCTATATATACTCGCACCAGACCCTGATGGACCTTCCCCAGCTTCCCCACCCCTTCCAATAAGAATGACCTCTGCGCCTTCTTCCTCTTCTTCTTCCACCGAGCACCACTTCGTTGACATCCATCCGGTGCTGAGCGACGGCAACGATAACGTTAACAGGCTCAGAGAGCGCCAGTCTTCCAACACGGCCGTCAAGTTTCGAAGAGGAAGTGGCGGCGGGGGAGGGGACGTCGCGAGGACACAACCTCAGATGTCGACGTTTAGCCGGCAGATCTCCCTGGAGAGCGGCATGGCGGTGTTGAACATGGAGAAGAAGAACGTCAAGGGTGGAAGCAACGGCAACACCAAAGAGGAGCAACGGGTTTTGTTGCGGAACGGGAAGAGCTTAGGCGGTCTTAATGTTGCCGGCGGGGACGCTGGCCAGAGGAAAGGAGATTTCAGCATATTCCGGACGAAGTCGACGCTCGGGGCGAGGCAGAATTCCTTGATGCCATTGAGAAAGGAGAACGAGCCCGATCTGACCCACGGCGAGGGCGTTCCCGGATCAACCGGAGCAGACGAGAGGGTCAACAAGAGCGTCCCCGCAGGAAGATACTTCGCGGCTCTTCGAGGGCCAGAGCTGGACCAAGTCAGGGTAAGCAACATCCACCTCCAAATGCCATCGATCATCGTGTCTCTGTAGTTACTGGTGCAAAGGTATCAGAGAGCGATGCCATGTGGTGCAGGATTCCGAGGACATCCTCCTGCCCAAGGACGAGGTGTGGCCGTTCCTCCTCCGATTCCCGATCGGGTGCTTCGGTATCTGCCTCGGCCTCGGGAGCCAGGCTATCCTGTGGGGAGCCCTGGCGTCGAGCCCGGCCATGGCGTTCCTCCGCGTCTCCCCCTACATCAACATCGCCTTGTGGCTCCTCGCTCTCGTCATCCTCGTCTCCGTCTCCGTCACTTACACCCTCAAGTGCATCTTCTACTTCGAGGCCATCCGCCGCGAGTACTTCCACCCGGTACGGGTGAACTTCTTCTTCGCGCCCTGGATCGCCTGCATGTTCCTGGCCATCGGGACACCGCCGAGGTGGGTGCCGAAACATCTCCACCCGGCCATCTGGTGCGCCTTCATCGCGCCCGTCTTCGTCCTGGAGGTCAAGATCTACGGGCAGTGGCTGTCCGGGGGGAAGCGCCGGCTGTGCAAGGTGGCCAACCCGTCGTCCCACCTCTCCGTGGTCGGAAACTTCGTCGGGGCCATTCTGGCGGCCAAGGTGGGGTGGGGGGAGGCCGGTAAGTTCCTGTGGGCAGTCGGCCTGGCGCACTACGTCTGCGTGTTCGTGACCCTGTACCAGAGGCTGCCCACCAACGAGGCTCTGCCCAAGGAGCTGCACCCCGTGTACTCCATGTTCATCGCGACGCCGTCGGCCGCGAGCATCGCGTGGACTACCATCTACGGGAAGTTCGACGCCGTGTCGACGACATTCTACTTCATCGCCCTCTTCCTGTATTGCTCACTCGTCGTCCGCATCAATTTCTTCAGAGGATTCAAGTAAGGAAACATCCCCGAGACCTTCACTCGAAAGCTCACATCTTGCTCAAATTGACCGACTCTAAGCCATGATTCCGTGGTGTCTGTTCTGAAGGTTCTCGGTGGCATGGTGGTCGTACACGTTTCCGATGACGACGGCTTCGCTCGCCACCATCAAGTACGCGGAATCGGCTCCCTGTTTCGTCAGCAGGGGCCTGGCGTTGAGCCTCTCGCTCATGTCCTCCACCATGGTGTCTCTGCTGTTCGTGTCGACGCTCCTCCACGCATTCGTCTGGCGCTCCTTGTTCCCCAACGACCTCGCCATCGCCATCACCAAGAGCAGGAACGGTGGAGCGAAGGCGCACGGCAAGGAGAAGAAGGCCGACAGGAAAGGCTACGACATTAAACGCTGGGCGAAGCAGTCCCCGCTCTCCCTCGTCTCCTCCATCAGAAAGGGAAACTCCGCAGATAAGGATTCAGAAGTCAAGTGAAAATAGTAGTCGTGATAATAATACTATGCATGATAGGGAAGAGATTGATATTGAGGTCAAGTTTCTGAATGTTTTATATTATTATGTTTTTTTTTTTTGGGGGTCTTTTCTGGGGGTGAGGGAAGAGAAGCACATAATTGTGATCAAGAAAAAGACCTATTGAAATAGAACAAGACATGACAGCAAGCCATGTATCAAATCTTGTACCTCAATGATGATTCAATGACCATGAATAGCCTGGAAGCAAACCAGAGACGACGAACATGTAACATCGCAGCTAATTCACAGCCGAGAGAAAGAAGCATACAGGACAGGAAGGCAATTGCCATTTTGCTCCAACATTTGCACCTTTGGTCATAAAAAAAAAGGGCTGATCCTAAACCTTCATGAGCTAAAATTGATTATGCTAAACCTTCATGAGCTTTACATGTCAACAATATCACCAATGAAACGTCCAACTAGTGGTTGCAGAAACAATAAGAGAACTAAAAGGCGTAAATTGCCCAAGAATATTGCAATCTTATCTATCAATAATGAAGTTGATGCCACAAACAAGTTACATGAAAGATAATACACAGTTTGAGATCGTGTAGTTTCACAAATCCTGCATCAATGATGTCCATACATGTAATAATCATCTCCTATTTGTTACCTTTTACAGTATTTGCTGCGTAGTAGTCTCACGTAGATCATACAGATCATACCATGAGCTCATTTCCTGTAGTAAATCAGCAAGGGAAAAAATGTGCAATTCAGCAAGGGCGAAAAAGAGTGGAAAATCAGCAAGGATGCTCCACCAATGTAAAAATAAACTCTACATGCTCCAAGTAATGGGTTTGAATCTGTTCAGGCTAACTAAGCTCATCCTCCACTTGAAGGGTTTGAAGAGTTTTCTTGGCATAGATAGTAATAGCTGCAGTGGCAGCTGCTGCAATGCAGAAGCCAATTACGTCGTAGATAACCTGTTCCAGTGAAAGGAAACCCCCAGTGTTGGTTGCATCTGCTAAGCTTTGAAGTAGTCTTCCGCTGCTCTTGCAAGTCACACAACAATGAAATGAAGTTAGTTCTTGCCTTGGAGATAAAGTTTTTACTGTGTAAAAACTTCAGAAATCTGATGTAACAAGGCAGCCTAGCATCCAATAAAACAAAAAATGCACAAAAAAAAACATGATTTCTACATCATTTTCAAGTTCTGAAAATTTTTTATCTTTGCATATGAAGAAAGAAGAATGTAATGCCAAACATGCACTTGGTTGCTAGAAATTCTCCAAGTTAACAACATTCTTAGTCAAGGAAACTTGCGGGCATTCAACTGGTAATATATTATACATTCACACTCTGCTGAAGCAAAAACCACCTAAGGTCAGTCCGGGTCATCATCAATGTGTGATCAACATGTAGGATCCAGGTAACATAAATGATACTAATCACACTAAGATAGGATTAATTATAAAATCCTTCAACTGTCCCAACTGGGTTGCTTCTGCATAAATGGGCCATGGATCTGGTTGATGTTGATATCTCATTCTGGAACGAGCATCTCAATCTGACACAAACATTGACCCAGATGGGCAAGGCTCCCAAAAATTAAACAAATTCAAAATAGTGTTGTCCAATAAAATTGGATTCAACACCTAGGAATTTGAGTATGCCCAACCTACTATGTTGAGTTGGTAAATTTGACTTAATTCATAATGAACTTGATCCTGCACTGATGGTTTGTTTCATTTTCAAAGTTAAATATGTTTTTTTTTTATCATCAAAAATAAAAAAAATTAAATTAGACATCTCCGACAAGTAAGCCTTCAAACACAAGCTAATCAGCATGAAACAGGTACAAAACATAAAATTATACTACAATGTCATGAAAAAAATATATGTGAAATAGATACAAGTACCCAAGTCTATAATCTAACTCAAGGAATTAGTATAGGCGTCAAAGGACACGCTAAAAGCCAGTCACTAAAAAACAGCCACCAAATGAAAAAAAGAAAAAAACAACTGCAATGGTAATAACTAATAGCATTACAAAATGATAACAACTGAGAATATGAATTTTAAGGGTAAAAATAGAGGAAAACACAATTGCAGAGCCTCCTCTATGGGAGACAAGAAAATTTGCTTTTCATGAACCACCCCTGCAAACATGGAAGTGAGAAGGTTTGATCTTTGGCAACCATGCCAAAAGAAGAGAAGAAAAAGATGCAAAGAGAAAATATAACATAAGAAAAGACCTGCTCTCAATTATTCCCACAGATTAATCAAAAAGCCTTTAGACAGGTCCAAGTAGATGGGAAAAATTGTATTGCACATTAGAAATATTTTCAAAGTACATATGTTTAGCTGCCACAGACAATATATTCTCATAACTAATCAATTAATTACCCTATCATGTGCATATTCACAGAACATTTGAAAGCTTAAAATTGTGCATTATAACAGCAAAACATGGGATGGGTCACTTAGAAAGTAGGACAGAGCAATGATACTATGATGTCTCATAAACAAATACTTATTTGACTGACTGAATTTAACAAAATTTAACTCTAGAGATCAAGATTTACAAACTTCAACTTCAAGTACCCCAGGAATATAAAAATGAGCATAAAATAAATGTGAGGAGTAAACTAAAATAAGAAACAACTCATATCTAGCAGAGCTGGACAGCAAAGAAAGCAAAAAGTAAGAGAATGTTTTGATTTGCTTCAGAAGCCAGAAAGAATAGTATGGAAGCAAAGAATCGCATGGCTCAACAGACATATAAACTACAATAATGATCACTAAGGATTATATATAGTGGCGGCTGTAATGATTTGGTTCATACAATTAATGATTATACTAAACAAAAAATGCAAATTAATATATAAAACATATGGAGTCCATAATACATCAGAATTACCAACCAAGGAATAAACATAAATAGACAATTAAAATTATGTAAAATAAACAGCATTTGCTAATACCTAACTATAAATGACAACAAATTGTCATAAGAAAATTAAAATTTCAACAGACTAAGTGCCGACAACAAAAATTAAAGATATGGGGTCAACATATGGACAAACTTACGGTATCTACAACATAAACCAAAAGGTCAAAGGGAAGACAGTAAAACATTTTCAGTTATATTTTCAATCTTCTGAAAACCTCAATTGTCAATGGTCTCCAAAATCGATGGACAAAGTGAAAAAAGAAAAGAAAAGAGTCTAATAACATTTTTTCCTAGTAAACACCATTTATCGACGAATTATCTGTTGTTTCACATGGGCTCCGATACATAGTTGTGTTCAACACACTATTGTTAGTTATTTCTTATTCTACATTACAGAGGTAAAATTCTCAACCAGAAGAATTAGTTGTACAAGTACAAGGAGGACCAAATTGGTGCTTTAAGATGCTAGCACTAGGATTCATTTAGCTCTTGAAATAAACTAAAGTGATATCATGATAACAGCTTGGGTCAAGTCATACTATATCTTGAACAAACAAATCTAAATAGATTGGTGATAAATTCTGATAAATACATAAGTACAACTCAAATCAAAACCACCAAGCCTGTGCTATCATACAACTATTCTGAAGTATATCTATCCAGTATATATGTAACCAGAATGAATATCATTAAAAAGAAAGCTATCCGAGTCAACAAAAATAAAGCAAGGCCAGTAAGATACGGCGGCAACAAAAAGGAACTCATATCTTGCGTAGATGTAGACTAGAGCAACTTTGTCAGAAGAAAATTCAAAGCATTAGTACCATACTAACCTGTAAATTGTAATGAAGGTCTCATGGATGGTTCCTACGAGTGAACCTGATATATACGGACCATATTCAACATTGGTTGCAACAGCTGCATAATTAAAAATAATATATGGAAATGGTGAAATCCTGAGTAAAACAACAGCTCGAAATTGATGAAACCAATCTCCTTCACCAGCTAATTTAACAATAGCTGCTTTTTTCGGCCATTTCTCCAACCATCTCTACAAAATGAGAACAAGAGTTACCAAAAATTATCTTAAGCTTTTAAACAGATAAATTAGGAAAAAAAAAGTAGAGACTAACATGTATATTGTGACGAAAAAATGATCCAACAAAAAAAGGCAGTGACATGCCAATACTGCTCCCTGCCATAATTAGCAGAAAGCCATAGCCATAGCCAAAAGTCATCCCAGCTATCCACATACAAGGCGATGAAGGTAAAATCATAGTCGGAAACAGTGCAATACAAGCAAAAAGTAACAAGCCAAGAACTGGTCTGCTGAATGTTGCCATCTCCCAGTTCAAGAATGGTACAACCACCTGTCAGAAGAATAAAATCTATCAACATAAGCCAGAAAAAGATAGAAAAAGAAGGCTTAAGCAGGAAGCATACATTTCTATGATACATGCTGAAGGAATCCATCTTCAATTTTAACTTGAGAAAGCAATGCTACCTTGAAGTTTGCTATATGTTTTATAATGAGCATGTTATAGATGCATCAACTTCCACACCAAAAAACAAAATCTTTAGGGATTTTAAAGCATTGTGACCTGTACTCAGTTCTTTTGAGCTTAAGGTCTTAAACAAAAGCAAGATGGAATCTGCCGGTAGCCGTGTGTGTTGCCCTTGCTTTTAATTACTTGAAAGATTTAAAAAAAAAAAACTAGTTGCAAAATATGGAAGATTCAGAATTACAACCCAGATCTCTTAATGCAATTTGGTGCTTCAGCTAATTTTTTGTTCTTATTTGATGCGTAACGCATTTATAACAATCAAATAACATGGAAAAAAAATCCAGTACAACAATTAGAAAATTGAACAATATATTAGATTTAATGATACCAGTATGATCATTGTAATTTACTTCTATCACCAATAATTATCTGAACCTCTACCATGTGCATGACAGCAAACAAATCCTCTTAGCTAAATTTGGTAGAAATTTCAGCACCCCGGGAATATTTTTTATACTAAAATCAACCTATCGTTTCTTCCGTTAATTAATTAGCACAGAGATCAACACAAAGCGGTAAATGATGTGCATAATTAATCAATGAGCAAGAAATGAATAAAAAATGACCTTTTTGATGATCAAAGGGCCGGCAAAGATGATGAGAGGCACCGCTGCGGCGCACAAGCAAACGCCCAAGAGGACCACCCTGATCCACCACCAAACCGAATTGCACCTCCTGTAGGGGCATTGCGGCAGCACCCCGGCAACCCCCCGGGGTTCGCCATCCCCCAACCTCACGTAATCCCCATTCACCTCCCCCGCCCCCAACTTCGTATCCAGAACAACGATGTTCTCAACATCCTGAGCCCGGTAGGTCATCGCGCCGCGGAATTAGATCAACCGATCATCCGAATCCCGCAAGGAACCTCGCGTGGGACCAGAATTGCCCCAGAAGAAAGAGGGGGAAACCGATCTAGGCGGCTGATGCCCCCGCAAGGAACCGGATGGCGGGCGTGGAGAAGCTCGAAGGGGAGGAGAAATCGGATACGCCCCTGGATTTCCACTAAAATTTGGGCGAGAAGGAGGTAAGATTCATTTTCTTCTTCGTTTCCGGAACAAACCTAAAGGCTGAGCCGTTGCTCATAATACCAATGCGGAAAAGAATATGAAGAAGGCGGCATAGAGAGAGAGTTAAAAATACTATAATATCGAAAACTAAATAATTCTTTTGTAGGCGTTTGTTGGACGAAACGATTTACCCCCGTTAACACCTTCGATGGCCACTGGGGCCCATGCTTGTGACGGAGTCCGTATCTGTCTCCAATCGGCTTCGGTAGGATTTCTTCGCGAACCTTTCGAGTTCACGTAGGTTGTGGGACGGTGAGAGGGCCCCGCGTACTAGTAGGTGGGTGACACCCTTCCGGATTCCATCTAAGTCGCAAATTTACAGACCTTCGGCACTCGGCTTACCCCCGTAACCATTGGAGAAGTAACATGGACCCGCAGGCGGGATCCACCACGTCCCTTTGGGTTACCGAAGCAGGTATCCACGAGTCGGGGTAGGTTTACATTTCTCATCATTAAAATTCTTGCGAACTTACGGAATTGCCATTGTCCATGGAACGACGGTGCGACGTGGCACACGTCGACAGCAGAGATGGCCAGCGCAGGAGAGGACAAAAGAGTCCACCATCCACCGCCGCGCACCTATTTTGGGAACTGACGCAGCCGTTTCAACTAACTTATGTTGACTAAGCTTATCTTTTTATTAGTTTTTATGATTGCATTATTGAAGAATAAAATTTAATATGTTTAATGTTATCCAAATCAAGAGACTCCGACGTGTCAAGTAACATGCTTGAGAATGTCAACAATTAAAACGTACAAGCAGTGGAATACCCGCGGAGTACGCCATCGACAGCAGCTTTCTCTTAATGTGGGGCCTGCTAGAGCCAGCAATTTGCTGTCGATGAATGATTGAGAAAGCGCGTAGAGTGATTCAAATCACACGCGACCGAAGGTTCGGCGCTTCTTCGCCCTCACGAATAGGCTCCGTCTCTCATACTTACACGAGGTGGCATACTAACGTAACCTACAGAGTATGATGAAAACATGGAGCATAATGACAGGATCATGCACAATAATGATGTTAAAATATCTAAATTAACTCTCGAGTTCTCTTATATAATATGATTAAACAAAGAAATGATGACATTATACTTCCAATCATCACATAAGCATCACATATCTCACAAAGATGAACTCTAGTGTAACTAACACTGGTAGAGAATCAGAAGCAAAATAATACTGTAATAATAGTAATAATGTTGCTCTTGTTTGTTATATTTTACCAATTACATTAAGCAAATCAACCTACATTAGTAAGGTCTGAAATACTCAAAATTTAAGAACCTACCAGTTAGGGTACAACCAGCAGATACTTAAAAACACACCATGAAGGAATGAGAATAAGCATATCAACATAGTTGCGATGTATCCTGGAAAAACACCGCCGCTGAGAAAGATTTGTCAACCAAACTGAGTAGATAATGCTGTTTCATGGCCCATTCAAGAAATACCAGCTTGGACTTGAAAGTCACGTCATACCTCAATGGGAAAGTCTTACACCACAGAAACTTGTTCAGGTTGTGGTCTTCGACGTGATCTGTGTGTGCCATCTGACTAACAACAGAGCAAAGGAAACCTAGGAGACTATTTAGATGCTGTCTTTCTTTTCTTGGCCTCGTTCTCTCCAACCTTCGTTTTCCTTGCCTCACGACGTTCCCTCTTCAATCCTTTGACGTCATTTGATAGTGCAATACCACCGACCTTAAACGAGAGAAACAAAGAACCATTATTGATGACAATCACTGCCTGAACACCCACCAAAATCAAGAAAGGAAAAAACCAACCTTTTGATCTGGAATGTAGATCTTCCCTATCTTACCCTGCAGCACATCACTGCTCACATTTTTGATCTGCAAGAAGAAATAAATGATCAGTCTAGAGCAAACAGTAGCAATTAGCAAAGTTAAGCATGAAAAAGAGAACCAAGCAGAAATTATTAGGTGCACAAGTGCATCTGAAGATGGCAATGCTCGTCTTAAAGTCCTATGGACAACCATTTGATGCCATCCCAAGAGATGAAAAAGTATACGTTGTATGAAATTGCGATATGATATTCACAGAATACCTGACTACATAACAACTTTGGACTAAGATGATTAGCACAAACCTTCTTTTTAGGCTGCCCATTAGTGGTCTTCTTTGCCTCTTTCTTTAAGCTGTCATTAGGAAGTCGTTGCCGTCGAACCACCAAGTCCATGGATGGTCCAACTTCAACCAGTTCCATCCTAGGAATTGCAGTACCCGATCTTTTCAGCCGTAGAGCACAGTGAGTGAAAAACACTGTACTTGAAGAGAGGGCTGTGCATACAAACACATGGTCTATGCCAGCAAGATTTAAGTTTTCCACAACCTGCACTAGCCAGAATGATAAACTCGTGTTACTCATTAAAAAATCATGCACATATATTTAAACAACATTTTAGGAAAAACCAACCTCTCCTCTGAAAAGGTCAAGCAATACTTCCTTTAAATGTTTCAACTCTTCAATGCTCTCAAATCCTTCTCCGACAAATGCAAAGAATGGCTTTGACCCAATCCGTGGAGTTAGTTTCTTGTCATACTCAAAAGATTCCATCGGTCTGAAATTATCAACTCCCACTTCAACAAGATCATAAATATGATGATCAAACATCCGCCCCAAAACCAAATTGTTTGGTCTTTTCTTAGAATGAGAACCAAACTGCAGAACCAAATAAAACAAGGTATTATAATGATTGCAGTAACAGAATTAACTAAGATGATCCAAATGGATCTGTGACTCCCCATTCCTTAATTCTAAAAAACAGTTCAAACATAAGATAAGCGAAGTTTTTCTGTAAAAAATTTACCTGCTCAAAGTTACAAAGAAACATACATAAAACAACATATGCAAGTATCAGGGCTTCAAATTAATCCCTTGCAAATTCCTTTAAATTGGCATTTAGCTATATGAGGATATGCAGATGAAATAGATACAAACGAGCAGGGAAGCATAAATTTGCATCCTAAATTTCAGAATAAAAATTTGTGAGGTTCTTTACTGCTTGGGCTAAATTCAAGTTGTGAGGCAACTGATAAGAAATAGACGATAAATAAAAGGTACAACAGATTATGTCATGGATGCTAGACCGAATACTCAAATATAAAAGGTGTGACCAAACAGTTTTTGAATAATATATCCAGCAATACCACAAGCCAATAAGCAAAAATCGTGATAGTTCAGTGATAAACACTATCATCACTTCACTCTATTTCATGAGGAATGGACATAGCAATGCCAGGACAGATTTAGCATGGAACATTATAACAACAATCAAACTGCTTCTAGCAATCACTTACGACCCAAATACACAAAATATATGAACCAAAGAAAAAAACAATGGATATGTTCTTTCTCACCACAAACAGACTGCAGTCAGTCTTAAGAGAGAAAAATTCTAGAGATGTCTCCCCACCACTTTCGAAAGGCCTTATGTTTTCGTTCTTCTTGGTGTACTTCACGGCATTGTCTCTTTTCAAATGATAAATTTGAGTCAGCACCGTGTTCAACACATCGCTTGTCTTTGTGCCATGAAGTATTAGTGTTTTCTTGCCACTCTCGACCTACAGAAACATAAAATTGATGCTTTAAAAATCACGTTCACCGCATATCCAACCTAAAAGCACAGTCACATCTAAATAACTTGCTTACAAGTTTAGGGGCGCGTTTCTCGACCTCCCGTTTAGCCCGTTGCGTCTTGGGGGTTTTAATCTTCAGCATCGTCAGCTGCAACCAAAAAGACGCAAATTTTTGGTTACCAAACTGCTGGGAGAGAAGGAGCGAGCTATGCAGTAGCGCCTCCAAGCGACTCAATCCAGCTAAAGAAAATATATATGGATGGAGAGAGAGAGAGAGAATAAGAAGAAGAAGAATCTTACCGGGAGGCGACGGCGCCGCTGGCGTCTGCTTGAAGGATGAAGGGAAGGGGCTGAGTAGAAGGCCGGCGACGCGTGTTAGGGTTCCTTTTAGGTTCGAATTGACGATAATATTTGTTATTTTGTTCGTTTTCGGATCATCGTAGCAGATCCGACCCGCAACCGAATCGGAGTCAGATCAAATCAGATCCGATCCATCGACGAGTAACGATCCTTGGACACCATCCAACGGCTTCGATCGTGTGACACATCAAAACCCTAGCGCCAAACCAATCCTTCGACCTCCTTTTATATCGCCAGCCCCACCGCCGGCTCTCTCTGCTTCCTAGGTTGAATCGCTTCCAAACTCTCGTCTTTCTCCGTGGAAGATTGATTTCTTAGTTGAAATAGTTGCCGGGGATCTAAATGATGAGTACTTCTTGGTCGGGAAGCGTCCAATTCGCTAGATTGGGTGCTGATGATACCTGCTATATATTGAATAGGAAGATCTGATAGATCCCCTGTTGGCTTTCTTTTCCTCTTCTTTCATGGCGAAAACAGTTTAGTTCAAATTGCATATGTCTTGGAATTTCTTCCTTCTTTTTGTTGATGATGACAGCAATTTTGTGGATGATGAGAATATGAGTGCAATACAGTTATCCCTGTCTGATGTATATGGCTGCTGACAGTATTCATTCTGACACATCCTTGCTGTTGAATATTACTTTGGTTTGTTTATGTTCAAAGTCTTCTTTTTGCTCATCTTTCGTTTCAGAGGAGTGTTTGGTTAGTGGTATAGATTGGCTTGAAAGCCAGTTGATGTCTTGCTAATGTGTCATGGTGATAAATGTGGTATTTGTTGGGAATGATGCTAATTTTTTATGGCTGAAACCAAGTTCTTGCAGTTGCGCTGTGGAAAATATTACGAAGTAGTACGGTCTGAGACATAGGCTTTCAGAATGATTTGCTTAGTGATCTTTTGGATGTGAAAGTGATTTGTTGAGAGGGATGGCGAGTGAGTGGGATAAATATGTTCTGTTCTTTTCTAGTTTATTTTCTTATATTTAAAAACAATTTTGATTCATTTTGCTTTGTATTTTCATAGTTTAGTAGTTGTTTTAGTTAATGTTGATCTCGACATTTTTGACACTTAATGGGTGCCTATTTGTGTGCGTCATATTTGCATCAAATTTTAATAAGATTATTGTTATTTTCTTTTGATAAGAGAATATTATTAATAATTATGTCAGCTTGACGTGATTTGGATTATACATTCGAGGTATAAATGTTGAGCTCTCGTGTCATATGAAATCTTTGAGTTTGTACGTGAGTGGTAAAAAAGTCTTTTACTTCTTGTGTTAAAGATGTATTTTTATATTTGATCAGAAATAATAAAATATTTTATAAAATATTTTTTAAGTGGGAGAGGGTTGAAAATATTTCATGAAATATTTATTAGATTTTTGTTCACGTGAGTAGATAAATGAAAGGTAGCATAGACTCTAGATGATGTTTATATGTTGAATGTTGATTAGTCGAATGAAAGGCAGCATAGACTCTAGATGATGTTTATATGTCGATTAGTCGACAATATATCTTTTATCTTGTGTCTAGTCGAAAGTGTGTTTCGGGGCTTTTGCGAGAAGGGTTGGAAGTATAATATTTAGTTTGTTTGACATGAAAGCGTTTGAGATATTTTCTCATGAGTTGAGATTTCTTGACTCATGTACCTTGGACTATTTTGTCTTATCTTTTAATTGTGTTAGATTTTTGTGGGTCATGATTTTTCAACTCGTGTCTTGGGTATATTTGTCGTATGTCTCCATAATAATGGATTGCCTTATATGAGTTAAAAATTTTTTACTCTTGTTTTTTTAGCATATTTTATTTTTTGTTTTCGTTGTGATGGATTTCTCGTGGATTGAGTTTTTTTAACTCGCATGTCTTAAGAATATTTTATTATTTATTTTTGCATTGTAAATTTTTTTATATATGTAAAAAAAAATTTATTATTTAACTCGGTTATATTTTATTGTGTTTTTATCCTGATAAATTTTATTTGGGTTTTTCGTTTATATGTCTTGAGCATATTTTATTTATACCTCAATTATCATGGATTTTGCATTGTTCAGGTTTTTTTTTTTACTCACATGGCATGTTTTGTCTTATGCTTTTATCATAGTAGATTCTTTGGTAGAATTTTTTTACTCACATGCATTGGGTATATTTTATTTTTATTTTTATCGTCGTGGATTTGGGCATTTTTTTGAATCTTTTATTCAATGCTTTTCGAATTCATTATCCAACCAAGTATCTTCGGAATCGTCTCAAATGAACACTTTTTCAATCATAAGAGGAGAGAGAATGATATTTGGGTGCAAAAAGCCATTATGTGTTTCAACGGGTCAATGTTGTCATCAAAGGCCTTAATGAGATGTGGTAGTTGTTGAAGTATCACATGCGTAATAGAATAATAAAAAAATAAAATAAATTCATAAATATTTAATATTGGATCATTGTGTAAAAATTGATGTTCAAATTGTAAAATCAAAAAATAAAAAAATCATGAAACACATATGAGATGATTTATCTAGGGGAGATCTTATATCCCCGAAAATATAGATCCATATGGCACGACAATGCTCTTCCTTTCACAATATAAGATGGATCGACATTTTTTGTTGTTCACATTAGACGGAGAGAGTAGAATAGAAGGTGATAGTCAAGAAGTTTAACTTATGTTTTTTTTTCTTATTTATAGAAGTCTTTGTTAATTTAACTCTAATAAATCATGTCTTATTTGGTATTGAATTTTTATGCAATATATGCAAGCCTCTTAGATCAATGGATCTTTATCCAATAATTATTATTTGCTCTTATTGGGTCTTATCCAAATAATCTAATAATATAGGGGTCTATTAGATATTCATTAAGACAAGGGGTCGACTGATATCTCTTATTCAAATCTTTATTTGTCACAATATCTATTATTTGTGTGATTCTCAAGATCTAATATCGAGCTAGTCATGGATCGTACTTATCAAAAATTTTTTGATTTAATAAATTATTATTTTTATAATAATTCATTTTGATTCATCGATAATGGACATATTATATAACTGTGTCATAGTCTTCAAGCGATACAAGAGATCCAATTTATTGAATTTTTCTATTGTAAGTTATCGTATATCTATAATCCCTTGTCTATCTAATATTTTAAATATCTATTGATAAGTTTCACTGTAATCAGATTCTCCTAAAAAATTCATTTATCTCTCAATCTGAATAACTCTAGCTAGGGATTTGCTTAAGCAAGAACAAATGAGACATTTCTCTTATAACACCAAGAGTCGATAATCATCTATCGACACTCAAATCACCTTCGTAAAGTTTGTTACCACTCATAATAACTAGTTGTGTTGGATCTAAAACTTTTAAACTTATCAATCTGATATCAAAGAGTGAAGTATTCATATAGGGTATCCTTAGTGTCTCAAGTTTAAGGACCAGACACAACTATAACTATGAAACTATTGTCTAACAATGAGATATCATTAATCATCTAACATTTTATAAACGGGTCAATCGGTGAACTCATTCTCTAATGAGTATCTGCATTATACCTCTAGTGTCCTCACATGAGCGACTGTGAGATCAATCATCTCCATCATATGAACGGGTGTATAGTACACTGGTCTATTTAGCTATCTCGATGTTCTCTCGAGTAACTTATGATCGGGAATATTTAGTGTATGTGTTTATAAGTGAATTGTTCTCGTTATCATAATCTAATTCTCATTACACATATGAGGATATTACAATATATACAATAAGCAACATAAAGTGAGAAAAATGCCAACAATAATAATAAGCAAAAAGACTGTCCAACGTGTCACACGTGTTATCACTCACGTGATTGAATTGCAATGCACCTATGACTAGTAGAAGTTGGCTGGGATCAACTATTCTTGGATGTCCTAGGTGACTGACGATTGACCCAAGGTAGCATTAGTCGACCCTTCCCATTTGGATTGTTGGAATTCTCGTCATATCTCCTCCAAACATTAATCTATTTGTTATAGTTGGATTCTCATAGAATCATATGTCAAATTTGTTGACTTGGTCTGGTGCTAATGTGGTGATCCGTGGAACTCCACTATTGGGGAGTGAGGTGCTCCCTCGATCGACGAGTCAATGAGCCTTGGACACTCTTAAGATGTTGGCATTGCGTAAGATTGGGAGATCCAATTGGGCGCTAGTGCTAATGGCAATTGAGTTGTTGATCGCGATTGAAATGGTAGCATCGCTTGTTGGGGCAAGAGCAGAGCGACGACTTATATCATGCTCATTAGCGTCTGCACCTATTGGGTGAGATTCAAGAACACCTTAGTAGGGACGAGCAAGTGGCTCGTGGTCGCTTCCGAGGGTGAGATGCTAGAGTCGTTGAACAAACGTTAGTATCGCATCGACGTTTGCTCCAAGATAAATGCATCCATATGTGAAAAGGGTGGTTGTTACTCCCTCAAGTGAAAGTATTATGGGTCGAGGGAAGATAAATGCATCCATATGTGAAAAGGATGGTTGTTACTCCTTCGAGTGAAAGTATTGTGGGTCGAGGATAGAGCCTCATCGCTCGAACATTCAATTGGAGGGTTGCTACCTTCACGAAAATCAAAGTCGAGAGATGTTTCCTAACCCAGTGACTTTCTGGTCTCTAAGTGCAAATGCAAGTGGTAAAAAAAAAATAAATATCCCACTCATTATTTTAAGAATATATTTTTATACTTGATCACAAAGGATAAAATATTTTATAAAATATTTCATAAAATATTCTTTAAACTTTTATCTAGGCAAGTAGACGAATAAAAAGTGATCTGGACTTCTTACATATCTGATGGTGATTAACAGATAATATATTTTTTATCACCTATTTATTCTTTCATTAAAAGTGAAAATTAACATCAATCTTAATATTTTACAAATAAGAAAAACAATTATTAGCATCCCTTGAAGTAAACCTTAAACCCGCATAAACCTCCTAGCGTCATGAGCCATCGCTACGGTGATGAGCTCATGTCATTCACGACATGTTTTTTGCATTGAACATAATTATCACGTATCTCCCCAATTCAAAATTTTCAATAAAATAGCTTAAAAGGAAGACTAATAAAAAATTATCACAACCTGTACCACCTGTGTCTAAATTTCTAATTAGGTTTTGAGAAGTGGATTTTGCAAAGATGCTTCAGACCCTATCCAAAGCCATAAATCATTACGACAGATACAAATGATGCATCAGATGAAATGTGTCATTCGACTTGTAGCTAACTACGCATGCATTGTAAATAAATGTTACGATGCAATTCTTCCAACTAGCATGAGAATATTAATGGTAAAAAAAAAATCTCAATGTAAAAACCTGCTATGTTTATTGATTCAGGAAATAGAGGAAGGAATAACACACTTTACGGATCATAAAAATGCTTTATAACAATTATAAAAGTAATCAGCTTTACAGCATCAAATGATTTCGTGATGTTGGCATGACCAACATAAAAAATTGTTTCTCAAGTGGAACAAACGCATTCCTAGAGGAAATCAAGAATAAAAAATATTCTGTTTATTTATCATTTGCACTTCTTGCTGCCGTCTAGAACAAGGGCCACAAGTGCCAAAATGTTGCTTCTGTGAATGTTCACGAGCATAGTAGAAGAAAAATGAAATACGTTACTAATCAGAGGGTCCAAGCATTTTCTCTGGTACCACAAGCTCATCAAATTCTTCAGCAGTGAGCACATTAAGGTTCAATGCAGCATCCTGCAAAACGAAAAGGAAAGATCAAAGATAAAGATAAGATTTTAACAAATAAATAGACATTTTGTTTAAATGATATTGCTTTAACCCTGCAACCAAAGGTACTTCGAACTAGAACCCAAAGTAAAAGCAGAAAACTTTTAACAATCTCATGTTATTAAACCTTATAGCTTAAACCATATGCGTTAGGTTACTAATTAGGAACACTCTTTCGGAAACATACTATCTCCATTTAGGAAAAACACAATACAAGCTTATCACCATGGAAACCAAGGTTGGTAAAATTACAAGATTTACTTGCAATAACTATAATATACATAGAATTTTTTTGTTTAATTTGATAATGGTCCTTACTAAGGGCTATGTATAAGACCGTTAAGTGTGAGAAAATGTATTCTGAAAGTCTCTCAGAGGAGACTTGATAATATGCCTAAAGCAGTTATAAAAGTACTAAAAAAATGATGCTGCTAATATTACACTATAATTGAAAAAACATTTAGCCCTATCCATCAACCTACAAACACACTTACACTTTGAGAAGACAAAGCTACTCAATTTAGTAATTGATCATATAAAAGCTTTCCTATGCTTAATCTCAAATGAACAAAGAATGATGTATACCAAGCATGCCATGGTCTTATGATCATTACCTTCAATGTCGTCCCTTCTTTGTGAGCTTTCTTAGCAACAGCTGCAGCGTTATCATAACCAATTTTCTGTTTCCCAGAAAAATGATGATTAGAAGTCTCAAGCTTTTACCAGAACATAAAAGTCATCTAACAAGAATGCAAAGAAAGCTAAGTTATAATGTAGACTTACAGGGTTCAAAGATGTGACCAGCATCAGGGACTGCAATCCACAAAAGGTAAGTTAAAACTTGTCGTTTTGAAAACAGCATCAAATGAAAATGCATTATGTAACAGTTCAGTTTGAAAATGTACCTCATGCAACAATTTTGAAATTCTTTGGTGGTTTGCTTTAATTCCTCTCACACAATTCTTTTCAAAGGATGCAGATGCATCTCCAAGTAGTCTAAGAGACTACAAACAATCACAGATCATTTAGTGTTTCATTTGCTATTTAAAAACCAACAGAGTTATAAATTATATTGTCATTTTTCTCCTATCTTTTGGATAGCTAACAGCCTAATACTAACCAACTCAAAACAAGACAAAATATCTTTTCATTTATCATAAAACAAATAAATCCAGAATAAAATATCATAGTGATAACATGGAACTAATCATACTCGAAGAAGACCACTAGCAATCAGTGGCTTGTAAACATTGAGCTCAAAATGACCATTTGATCCACCAACAGTTATTGCAACATGATTGCCCATCACCTGGAGAAAGAAAATACACGAAAAGAATTCTTTCATCACCAAGATGTGTAATCAAGGCCAAATACCTATTCAACCATCTTAGAACACAGACAGCTGAGTAACAGAAGACCTCAACAGAAAACAAAAGTATTTGCATATGTTTGTCTTCATGGTTTATAGCTGAAATAAACTTGATTAATATGATTCTTCTGTGTTCCTTCTGATTTCTGTAATACCAATTCAAAGTGTAAGGTCAAATCCAATGATTCCATTTTGAAGCATACCAATACGATCTGCTCCATATGTACTATATCTACCAAAGTATGGGTCAGAGAGCAAAATTACCCAATTTCCTTGAACATGAATATGATGTTTCATTGTGATTCTTATTGTTTGTGTACTAATCCACAGTAATGGAGTCAAAACAGACTTGCATATGAACCAACCTAGCTGATCTATTGCATACATCAAATCAGATTATGGAATCTCAACCAGCAGATTTTTTTAATTTCTATCAATATATCCAAGCAGAGAACAATTTCATGATTTTCTATCAATATATCCAAGCAGACACAACAATTTCATGATGCTCTAGTGATCTGACAACATAATCCACTAGCAGCCTCCTGCATTCTCTTCGTGATTATTGAGCATCAGTGATCGGTCATCTTAGGTCGGCCATTGATGATAAAATAATAAAATTTTCACCTCTTATTCTACCAATGGACCCAGTCAAGTATCATATCTTTTCTTTATTTTCCTCAGTTCAGCATGTTAGTGTCTGTCATGCCACTGACAGGCCAACATGAGCGTCCAGGAAAACAAAAACTCTTGTTCAGCTTGTCCAAATAAAGCTTTAAAATAATTCAGTGTACTTTATTAAAAAGGGTACAATCATGCATGACCTGTATTGTACATCCAAATCCATTTCTTCTAAACTGTCTCGTCTTTCTATCTATACCATAAAAAGGCACAGGTATTATGTATCACTTTTTGAAGATAACAAAATGGATCAAGATGATCATATCACATCTTTTGTTTTCGTACCTTTATAATATATATTGACAGTTATTATGTTGTATCATGAGCACTTTACATAAAACCTACATGAACTCTATGCGAAAGTTTGATGTTTGGATTTGTTCTCAATAGATAAATGGGCTTCTTGTTTATCAGCTTTCGGATCAGCACCCACTATCTGCCTACAATGAAGTACCTTCATAACTCACATGCTAATTACAACCTAGGTCATAACGTAAACGACTTACTCAGGTACATAATATTTCTTTTACTGTATCATTCTCAACAAGATAAGAGTTCACAGTAATTATCTTTGCTTTTAATGTTATTCAAATTTCAAGTTTTTATTATAGTTTTAAATTTATTTTTCCAAAGACAATGGGAAGTGGAAAAAATGGTCAGGATTTCTCTGCTCATACAGAGAAAAAATTTAATCAATAAGAAATATGTACCATAGAAAAAGATCATCATGAAGGTGCTTTGCAACAAAAATATTACTTCAGCTATATCATGCCCATGAATACATGAGTTAATGGAGCTTAAGAAATAATCTATACTGAATCAAGCAATACTATATAACCATCTTAGTTAACGAAGTACTTCCTGTGTCATCTCATCTGGAAACAAGTCATATTTCAAAGAGCTAAAACGATCATGTCGAAAGATGAATGGAATTCCAATCAAGAAATATTTCAACAACAATCCTACTGTAGCTATCTTGAGGACCATTTAATCCAGTGCAAACTAGAAAACATGTCGATCATAAGTCGCTGAGAACACACACAAACTAGAAAATATGCATAAAAGATCTTTCTTGAATCAGTAGATGTAAGTATGAATTTCTTAATAAAAAGGAAAAGTAAATATAATTTACCTGAGCACAAACCATCGTAAGAGCCTCACACTGAGTAGGATTGACCTTTCCCTGCAACAAAATATAAGGGTTTCAAACAAGTTTAGACAGTATTGGCAGAAAAAAAAAAGATGCTATATGCAATTCGCTTCGGCAGCCATGCCAATTTGTACTAGACAAATAGCATAAATCAAGAAAAAAAAATGTATACAGGCATTATACTGCTGCCAGGCTCATTTTCAGGTAGGATAAGCTCGCCAAGTCCGCAACGTGGACCACTGAAAAATGTAAGAGAGTATGGACTTTCATAATGTGAATCACAAGGTATATACATGTATGTTTTTGCAAGAAATAACAAAAAAAAAGCTACCTAATACAGATACCTTCCGAGAAGTCGTATGTCATTTGCTATCTTCATAAGAGAAGCAGAAATTGTATTTAAGGCTCCACTCGTCTCAACAAAAGCATCATGCGCAGCCTGTTTGCAAAAGAAGCAACTAATGGAGGTCTAGTGATAGAAATCTAGGTAACAGTAACAGGACCTTTGTAAGAAAATATAACAAGCAATAACAGAGATATGCTCAGTTACTGTTGAATAAATCTGAAACTTTCTACATGTAGATTAAGAATGCATTAAATTTAGCTGAACTTTGAAACAGTATACAAACTGAAACTCATAAATTATTATATGAAAATCAACAAAAAAAAGAAAAATTGGCTCTGTGCAGGAGGAAACTACCTTTAAAGGATATTCCAAGCGTACACTTTCCTAAAACAAAAAGAAAAAACATGACACGAAATCTAGGAGATGATATAGGGTTAGAATAGGTCCAGTTGTCCTGAAATAGATCATGGATGGTTACAATTGAAAGCAATAGAGATCTTTGGGATAAGTGGGAGTCAATCTGATCGATCAGTAATCATGGTAACAGCTAAAAAATTGCCTTAACTTTTCCTAGACTACTGATCTAAAAAGAAAAAAGATGCATGCTTTGGAATCCAAGGCCAGCCTCACCCATGTTATTTCATCCGGCAGACAGAACATACTGGTTAAACCCTGTTTGCCCAGCTGAGGGCTGCCTACTGGACCAGTTATGAACATGAGGCATCATAGCATGTGTAAAAAAAATTTGTGGTATTCCCAGTTTGTGTGCTTCACTGCTTTGGATACCATATCACCACCGGATCAAGTTCTGGGATGTTTGCTCCACCATACCAACTAAGCAAATGACTACTTTAAATTGTAGAACATAATATGGAAGTATTATAAATCTAACCCCATCTGGGACTAGACCTAGCCCTAAATCCAATCTGAAAACTACTACAAATGAACCAAGCCAAGCAACTGATGTTTAACACAACAACGAAACAACTAGGTAAAAGTTTGTGAAAATCCACCATCATGATAAATCTTATAAAAGTAGGACATGACACAGCACAAACATGAGAATTAATACTGGTAAACTTTCAAGAAATTAGTATGATTTAATACTTTATATGGTTTAGTTAATCAATGATCCACATATATGAAATTTACAAGAAGCCTAACAACCATCTGTATGAGCTATCAGAATTCAAAAGAATAATTCAAACACATATAAAACATCATTTATGATGTAAATGTCCTACATTTACAACACAATAACAAAAGAAGCATATAGAAGGCACAAGATTTTTAATATGTTTTAAGCATCCAACACATTTTAAAAAAGTATTTGATGAGTGTCACTGTTTGACATGGACACAATGCATATATTGCAAGCATTAGAAAGTGTTATTGCTTCGTAGTTCAGTACTAAAGATTCTGTCAAAGCAAACATTTTGGCAAGCAAAAACATATCATGAAGTTGACTCAGATAAAAAAAGAGATGAGAAGAAACTGTTTAGTATGACAACTGACCAATGCTTCAAACTTGTTCTCTGCAGTGACAAATGATAGATTGGTTTCCTCAGCTACTGCAGATGCAATTTTCACATCAAATCTGAATAATATGCAAGAAAAAGCAAGGTCAAATATAATATGCAGGAGAATGGTGCAGCAAAAACAACGTTCAAGTTAACTAAGGTAATTGCTATAAGTTGAAAGTCCCAGTCAGTACATTAATGGTACTAAAACTAAAACCAAAGAGAAAAAAGGAACAATCTAGAAGAGATGGATAGCTTTCAACTCAATGGAACTGTTTGACAAAACATCCTAAATGAAGAAAAGGTACATCTCTGAGCAAGGAACTCAGTTTTGCCCGGACTGGTCCAGGCATGAACTGGTATATGGACTGCCCTAAATGGGGCAGTTGGGTCTGGTTTAAAATAAAAGGAATCTTTTAGTTTAAATGCCCTGATTATTTAGGGCTCAAAATTCACAAGCCCTCTTCATCCTCTCATCATTCGAGTGGTGTGGCCCGACCACCGCCTTCCTCTCTTGCTCGTCCTCCCACCTCTGTTCTGGTACTTCTCTGCCTTCTTCTTCCTCCTCTTACAGATTCCTCCCCCCTTTTCTCTCCCCAGCACCTTGGTACCATAACATTTAGGTGTGTTGTTATTGCCGATAAAACTGGATTCATACCAGTCCGACCATGGATTTGGACGAGTCCAGTACCAGAAATTGGATTCCTTGTGTCTCAGACATTTGAATTTGAAATATATCATTAATTTCTTTTTTTTACTCACAAGAAAAACTCTACACAATTTCAATAAGACTGCATATGACGACTGCATAAAATTGAGAATACTTAGCACACTGACAAGGAAACGTATACAATAAACATGGATGTTTGTGGAACAAAGCATACCCTTTTTTGGTGTTCAACCCGGTGCCTACAGCAGTACCACCTTGGGCAAGCTGCTCAAGTCAAGATTAATGTCAAGAAACACATTCAAAGCAATAAATACAGCAAATATACAACTACAGAGGCTACCTGATACATGCGAGGCAGAGTCCCGATTATTCTCTCAATACCATATTTTACCTACAGAATCACTTTACAAATCAAAAGCTGACATAGCATGCAGCTTATCTAACACAAAAGGTGCATACTAGAAAAACATGGAAATAATAGAACCTAACAAAAATAAGATATACCTGTGTGGTATAACCACTGAACTCCTGGCCAAGAGTTAGAGGAGTGGCATCTTGAGTATGCGTTCGGCCAATCTTGACAATATCTTTGAATTCAAGAGACTGGAAATGACAGCAATGGAGAACCAAACAGATTGAAGTTCAAATTTTGACATAAGATATTAAAAGGCCAAAATGTATCTCTAGAGAAAAAACAACCACCATAAGTGCCTTAACCAGATAAAAAGCATTCAATTCATAGCCTAGTAATTATGTGCAAGTAAGGAAAATCAAGACCTTGATAGGTCCATAGATAAAAAGACAACAATATGTTGATATTTTTAAGGTGTAGAAGCACTTGCCGGGGAACTTTGGACTTTTGGAGAATTATGCACTTCCTCACCTTTTCTTTATATTTGTCATTTTGAATTTTTACTCCAAATTATTGAATGGTTTCCGAAAGCCACCAAAATATTTCAGTCAAAACTGAGATCCCATGCCTTGTCATTTAGGCAAAACAAGGTAGGTAAACAAAAGCACTCACAGAAAAGTCAGATGCCATCTCAAATGACTGAGAATAACCATAAAACTGAGCTACATGAAGAGAAGTGAAAACTTGCAACTCATAGATAACTTAAAAAGATCTTGACCTTAGTATGAAGTGAACTGTGCAGCTGTTTCAAGCTTGGTATAAATCTGGAATTAATTTCCACAGCTGCAGCTATGTGCATAACCTGATAATGACAAAGCTTTTGTTAAAAGATCAGTCAAGACAATCTCTCAAAACAGGATTGTAAATGTCCTTAAGAATAAATTTGAGGGGTAGTATTGTAGAAATTCATGTCAACTATTTACAAATAAAAAATTGTGTCATCCTAGATCTTTGGGAACAATGACCAGGTGAGACATTAAGCCTAAGCAAATGACAAATCTTAAAGCACATTATAGCAAAATTCAGTATAGAGCAAATAATTCTTACAGTTGGAAATGTATCATTTGAAGATTGAGACCTATTGACATGATCATTTGGATGTACAAACTTTTCACCTCGTTTATGCCCAAGAATTTCAGCTGCTCTATTTGCAATAACCTGAGGATTAACACAATACAAAATGCCACCTTGAGAAAAATAATACGTTAAATATATAATTATATGAGAATCATTAAAAGAGTGCATGATCATAGAGAGGAGTATATAAAGATCCTAAGGTCACTGATGCATTGATCAGGATACTAAATTTCTTTCATTCAAGTGAATTGGTGTGTTCTTCTAAAAGCATATAGGGAGAAGGATGTGCTCACTCAAAAATTCCAAAAAAAAGAAACTACATAATGTGTTACAAGTTGGAAATACAAACTTTTTTTAAGACCTTTCTTTTCCAAGAAATTCAGTCTTTCCATTTTCTATAAGTTGCGGACAATTGCACAATTGCCATCATTACCATTTTCACCACCACTATTCCTTTAATGAAGTAGTTCTCTAAATTATCCAATGCTTCTCTAGTACCTAATGAATGTTGTTGTCATGCTTAGTGCCATTGTCAACATTACCTTTGTCACTGTTGCCGCCACTACAACATTGTACCAACTTTGTCATTGTTGCTGTTGTACCACCCACATCTTCCTTACCACCACCATCTTGTTACAAACACTACTGTCCAAACTACCGCCTTCACCACGAGCCAGAATAACCACCATTCCTATCAGCAACATCAATGGCAACCACTACCACTAATGTCATCGACTGCATCACCATCACCAATGACATCGACCGCTTCACCACCACTAGGCATTTTCACCACCACCATCACAACCATTACTACAAACTAAAAATAATATGATAATGAGGATAGACAGCATACTAAATTGAATAGGTAAGCATGTGTTCGTTATTTTTTCATGGGGAAATATAGTGGAAAATAGTGATGAAAAGTTATGTTATGAAAGTAATCATACCCTATATTCTTTACAAGCCTAATAAAATGAATATTTAAAATATATTAGATACTTTACAAGGAGAAGGAATTAATTTGCTTGAATCATGGAATATATGCCGGACTCCCACTACTGACCTCATTGGCATTCATGTTGCTCTGAGTCCCACTGCCAGTTTGCCAAATGACAAGTGGGAAATGATCATTCAATTTCCCCTCAGCAACTTCTTGGGCAGCCTGCATTATTGCTTTCCCAACAGTTGGATCAAGACCATACTCCATGTTTACCTACACATGGTGTATATCAAGAAGCCAGAAAGTCAAAATTAGTCTATGAAACTCAGCCCAAATATGAACAAACAATATTAAAATGGAAAGAAAGAACATTTTGGTGACAGCTAAGGAGTTAAAATATGGTGAAAGAAGGGACAACTTAATACTGACCATCCTTTAGGGTCTTAAGATCCAACATAATTTCAACTTAATACTGACATTGGATTTGCACTATTCAGTGACTTTAAGATAAAAATAGAGAATACATTATTTGCTTCATAGAACATGCTAATTAAAACAAAAGAAACACTAAGATACTGGACCACTTCTGAAAACATGTTTGTGCCTTAGAGCATATATAATGTGGTACCTAAATCACCAACATAAATGAGGTATATCTGAGACCATAATAAGAATAAAAATATAAATGGGCATGTATTAAAGGGCACAAAGTGAAGAAAGTCAGCAAACAATAGTAGCAATATTACTTACTATGGGTAAGATACTTAGGTACTTATTTATTCGTCTTACTAACAAAATTTAGTCAAAACTGAAACTAAAGCAAAAAATATGAGCATCTTAGGGGAAAGTGTATCTTATACAAAGTATTTACAACAAGTAGCTGTAATGTCCTACCTATCTATGGCTACATATACATCTTCTCTCCGTTGTGCTCTATATATGGTATCCCTAGCTAAGTCAAGAATATTACATCTCTTTTGTATTTTCTCTAGTAGAATTTTCTTAGATATTCTTTTGCCTCTCCTTCCATCACTAATCTTAATTGACACATTTGGTTTGACCATGATGTTTATAGGCCTCTTCTGAATATATATTGTTTTATACTTTTATCCTACATCTTCATATGAAAAAATATAACATTCTATTGGTATAGGAAACCCCCCACATCCTCCTCATCAATCCCATTTTGACTGTATTATTTTTGCATGTTGTTGATATCCATCAATTAGATTCATAAAGAGTGACTAGTTTTATAACTATTTTAGATTTTTTCCCCATGGAGCGGTGTATGTTGATCACACAAAAATCTCAACAACCCTCCACTTTCACCATCCCAGTTTGTAACCAAACTCGAACTTCCCAATCCTACAGGGCATATCCCCACATATAGGCTAAACCAACTAGCTTAAATAACTTATAATGTTTAAGCATATAAGAAGATAGTGTGATAATTAGAATGGACAACCTAAATGGAACAAATGAAGAGATTACAGAAGATATGGTTGTTGTATAGTACACATACATTAAGAATTGTAAGACATGTTCCTGAAATAATCATGATAAAGTTGGAAACCACCAAAAGTCAAGGAATAATCAAAAGTCAAATTTTAAGATCAACATATCACTTGCCAAAAAAAGTGCACTCGCTAACCTATTCTAAGAGACCACTCATGCTTTCTTTGGCATATCATTTAGTGTCATAGAACATCCTCAATGGATAAGATTTAAATGGGAGTTATATAAGGACCAGATTAAAATCCAAAAAAGCATTTTAAAATGAAAAAAATGATGTATAACGTGTATATACGAAGCAAAAACATATTGGGGAAGGAACTGAAAAGTTACATACATTTAACACTCTATAGACTTTTCTCTATCATGTTCAATTCAGGAATGAGGATCCTTTTAACTATGGCATGCCGTGTGATTGCTAATCAAAAGTTAAAATCATGGGAATGGGAGCCCTGAACCAAGTTCCACATTTAAAATCAAACCTTATTTTTATTTTCGTAGGTTCCCTGAATTCACGTATATCCTAAAAAATAGATATCAATTTCATCCACACTTCCAAATAAACGACATCACCAATAACACAGAATCAATAAGACAAGACATATGCAAGTCACATGTCCGTCACCTTTCTGTAAAGCAGTCCATATTTATCACCTTTACAAGCAACTCAACTATTTTAACTAACATTTCCCAGGGTTGAGAAGTAACCTTTCACAAAAAGATCGTAACGAATAGTAAACAGAATAAAAATTGTTGCACAGAACATAATAAAAAAATCAAGAGACCTTGGCAGCACACTTCTTGAGAACACCGAACGCCCTAATGATCGGCTCCGGCATCTGCTCACGCTCGCCGCCTATATCAAAGTTCTGCAGCGATCTCTGCGTCTGCGCACCCCACAACCTAAAAAGGATCGAACATTTGTGCCACAAAGACTCAATAAAATCCACCACCGGAACGTCGATTAACTAATCCACCAGCGACAACAATGATCCAGTAGAAGAACAGCAGCATCGGGAGGCACCGACCTGTCGGCAGGTACCATGATCGGACCGAAGGTGTCCCGCTCCTCCCTGAACGCGCCCGCCATGGTCTGCAGTGTCGCCGAGCGGAGCACCACGTTCGACAACGCCGGCGCCGCACCGGATCGGCCCGCGAGCCGCCGTGCCGCCGCAACCATCATCGCCATTCTCCGCCGCCGTCGCCAATCTCGACTCTCCAACTTTCGCGAGTGAAACGGGGGTTTTATGTTGCGATGGAAGAAGAGGGCAGGGGCAAGGAAAACCGGGGCCAATTATTGGGTGTAATCACTCTCCCGGTTCGGTTACCTTCCGAAGATAAAAACACGCGGACGCATGTTCCAGCTCCACTCCATCGTGCACTTCTCCTGCACGTCGGACCCACAACGACGCGGGAGGCCATGTCGGGGGCCAGACAGGGATTATTCATCACCCACCCGCGACGCCGTGTGGCATCTACTGGTAGGTGGATAATTCAGTTTCCTATCTAGAGTTGTAAAGGAGATCCTCTCTCCACCACCACGGCAAAAAGACCGCTTAGAGGACCGTTGACATCCAATCGGACGGTTAATACCTTGTGTCGATACACGTGGAACGTAACCAGCTCGTATATGTTCTGAACTCATAATTTCCATTTGGCATAATAAAATAAATCACTGTTAATATGAAATATCACTGTGGATGCATTTTATATGAATTAATCCACATATATTAGATATTGGATTTAGGTTTTCACTAATACTATTTTTTAGTACTTTTATCATCAGTCTTTTGTTTCTCATATATTTTCAATAGAGGAAAGGCGGCATTCGAATGGGGGCAAGCGGAACCTCGTGGAAGCTTATGATGGCATAAGAGAAGGCTGCCGTGGCTCGATATAAAAAGGATTAAACGTTAAATTAATCCGATGACGGACGTCGTGTTCTTCGTCGCATTGGAAGAGCTCTTTCCTTGAATTCTCTAATATTTTCGTCATTAGATCACGTGGCGCACTTAGGTATGTGTATGGTTTCTTCTTGGAACTGTAATTTGACTGGCATCCAGTGGATGCAAGCATCTTGAAACAAAGAGTATGAGGACATAACAATCAAATAATGGGTGATTCTGATCCCAATAATTAGGGGAAGTCACGCGTATATAAATCAAATGATTTGTGATTGCGATCACAGTAATCAAGGGAAGCACATATATATAATTACTTTGATTTAGTACTTTGAAAGTTTGTGGCTTATATGAATTGCAGTCTTTATATAACAAAGTGAATGAAGCATATTAGCTTTATATTGTTCTCACCTTTTAATCTTATGCTTCTTTAGGGCTTAGAGCTTGCACTAATACTCCGCATATCCTCTGTCATCTTCCATTGCTTCTGCCAAATTGTAGAATATTGATTTTATTTTTACTAGTTGATAAGGTATACTTTGGACTCCAGCCACATCACAATCGGCACCGCCTCACACCCATGCCAAGTCAACATGAGATGTACTTCCCTACGCTGAGCCATGACCCGTACCAAAAGGCACCCCTTGCCAAGTCTCGTCCCAGTACAAAAGTACCATCTCGCCCCTCGATATCGATCGTCAAATCCGTGTACGATCAATCTTCGTATAATAGTATAAAAACCCATAATCGGTATCTGGTCAGGGGAGGAGGAAAGAAAAGGAGAAAGGGAGACAACTACTAACTCAATCTACGAAGGGCCAAAGTCGGGAACCCCTGACGAGAGCCTTATGTGCAAGAGCTCGACCACCCCCGAAGGCGCGATCGCCCCGACCAAGAGATGCCTTCCTGGAAAACAGTGTCAACCTCCCGACCGAGAAGCACCTTCCCAGCAAACGACGTCACCAACTTGACTGAGGGGAACATTCCTGGAGGACGACGTCAGCATCCCCACCTCATGATCCAATCAGCTCCGACACTCCTTCCAAGAGACTGAGAACTTTGGACATCGACCCGTAGACTAAGCCGTGCTGACTCCTCGACCACAACGTATCAGTTCACTAACACTTTTTATCGTTTTAACATATGACGAAATAATATTTACGTAACGTAATTGTTCCAAACTGCTATGCCGCTATCTCATCAGGTGATTAGAGATTATGTTAAAATAATTTACATTATATCCATAATTGATTTAACAGTGAAAACTGAGATTCCAATGTATAAATAGTATCTCTCATTTTTTATTTTTAATTCTTCTATATTTTAGAAATGTCTAATTTAAGCATAAAAAAATAAATTTAACTCTCTCGATCTCAATCTTTTATAGGGATTCGGGTAGCACCTTAAGAGATTGAACGAAAAGTATTTTAGAAGTAATTTCATCAGTTATCAGATTCCATCAACTGAATCTTATCCGAGCATTTCTTGATGTCTCAGAATGATTCAAAGTGCTCCACCATCAAGCATCAATCCGAGATGCCTCGTTCCATCGTCTCCTTATGGGATGATCAATTTTAATATTATCATGCTTCATTAAGAGTTTATTCTTTGAACGAGATGATCTAAGTTTTTAAGCTTATAGATAACCGACAAAATTATTATAGATAAAGTCTCCCTACAATCATAACAAATCTCAATATTACTTTATTTCATACCAACATCTGGATAATCACTCATTGTTTAATTATTATTTCGTTATAATGAGCACCACCAGCCACCGTTGAACTTTGATCATCACATCACAGTGTCCTTTGTCTCCCGAAGACTATGAATGCTCAAGTCTCGAATCATACATCTTGCAGCGATCGCCATCAGCGCAGTTTGCGTCCTCCTCGTGAGGACAAGTGCAATTTGTGATCTCAGAGAAAAAAGGGCATTCGAGCAATTTACAAAGCTACGAGCCGCATGTGCGGGCGCGACAGCGCCACGAGCGATGTCACGCGCGCGCCTCGTGTTTTCGTGTACGTGCAGCAGCTCCCGGCAATCATTAGAACTGAGCAAAGAGACACATGGCCCGCCCGGTGCTCCTGCATCGTTAATTAGGTCAGGTGAACGAGTCCCATGTGCCACTACGTCGCGAGTGCCACCTCTTTTTATCCTACCGCCAAAAGGTAACCACTGACCAGATTTGCTTTCCTCCCCAAATTTCTTTACCTGACCTTCTGATGTAGTAGTGGTAATAAGAATATGGTGTTCGGTCGACCACGGTTTGCATCCTTAATAGTGTTGATGCCTCGACTCCGTAAATTGGTACGATTTGATTTCGTGATCAAATCTGGTGCGTTCGAGGTATATTGAGTCGGATCAAGGTAAGCTCTGAACTCCTCGGAGTTCAAGGGGATGACCTGAGATAAGTCTTTGCTTCGTTAGGACTCTACATAATAGATCAACATCGGGAGAGATTTTTCGACCCGATTCTTCTGGTAATAAAGTTAGTATGAATGAAATAGAAATAATAGAAATTCTATGTCTCGTCCTCTCTTAAGAGAATTGACTTTTCAACTTAGATACTCGAGGGGACAAGCTCATATGTTATTTTGGGGCTCATTTATGTGGACGACTACGTAATACGATTCTCTATGCCAATGACTGCAAAAGCATCATTTATTAGCATTGATAACTATACCAACCGATCGAGAAAAGAGTAGATAGACTTTGTCACTGATGAGTTACTGCACCCGATGATCGACGTATAAAGACTTCTCCAAAATCATGATGAGCAAAAGGTTGTTACCCTACCGTCTACCCCTAGCAAAGGGGATGCGGGTATTTCCTTATCCACGTCAGTATCTAGGTGGTGACAGTGAGTTGGCAGGCCAGTAGATAAGTCAAGGCTGATGTCAGCATTCCCTATCAAATAGATCCATTCTTCAATAGTAAGATGAGCAGCTGCATTGGAGATTAAAGGTTCTCTGTATTCTAAAGGTCAAGAGAAAAAGAATGATGCAGGAAAAAAGTTATATCAATGCAACCAGTGAGGAAAAGACGATGCTCCTCCTGCTTTCCACAGGTGGCGGTCCTACTTCCGCTTCAGGCTTGCTTCCAACTCAAGTGGCCAATGTTTGCAGTCATAGACGCTAATCGTGGTCCCGTCACCGACTACTAACGGATAATTTCACCATCCTTTGGCATAATTAAGCCTTCTCGACCATATTTGCCTCGTTGTCCGAAGGCATCGAAAGAGGTCGAGAGGGAGGGAAAGAAGTCCAAAAAAGACACCCTCTCTCTCTCTCTCTCTCTCTCTCTATTCCTTCTTCTCTGTCTGAAGGCTCTTCTTCCACATCCTCTCTCTGCCAACCCAGCAACAGCAGCAGCCGAACAAAGGGGAGCTCCCACCACCACTTACTGCACTCGTCACTCCCTATTATGTTCCTGTAACGTACTTGTTCGCCACTCGCCTTCCCCATCTCGACCTCCAATTAACTCTGCATCGGAGAGCAGTCTCTCTTCGTTGGCAGTTGTTCCGCAATGCCGTCTGCCTCCGCTTTCTCCCTCTCCCTACTGCTGCTCTTGTTGGATGCCCTACTCGTCTCCGCTGCCACTCCGCCGCAGACCCACGTGAACCGCTCCTTGGAGACACAGGCGGAGATCGACGCCCTCACAGCCTTCCGCCTCGCCCTTCGGGATCCCCTCGGCGCCCTCTCCGGGTGGGACCCTGCCTCCCCCTCCGCCCCCTGTGACTGGCGAGGCGTCGCCTGCGCAACCGACGCCCCCCGCGTTGTCGAGCTCCGCCTCCCCCGCCTCCGCCTCTCAGGTCCCATCTCCGCCCGCATTTCCGACCTCCGCCTCCTGAAGCGGCTCAGCCTCCGCTCCAACCTCCTCTCGGGCCCTCTTCCCTCGGCCCTCGCCACCCTCGGCTGTCTTCGCTCCCTCTTCCTCCAGTCTAATGCCCTCTCCGGTCCCCTCCCGCCCGCTGTCCTCGCCAACCTATCTGCTCTCCAGGTCCTCAACCTGGCCGGCAACCTCCTCACCGGCCCCGTTCCCACCGCACTCCCCCCAGGCATCCGCTACCTCGACCTCTCCGCCAACGCCTTCTCCGGACCCGTCCCCGCCAATCTCTCCGTCGTCGCCCCCCGTCTCCAGTTTCTCGACCTCTCCTTCAACCGACTCCGTGGTACCATCCCAGGGGACCTCGGCCGCCTTCCTGCGCTCGCCTTTCTCTGGCTCGACGGCAACCTTCTCGAGGGCACCCTCCCCGCCATCCTCGCCAACTGCACATCCCTCGTCCACCTTAGCCTCCAGGGAAACGGCCTCCAAGGGATCGTCCCGGCTGCCATCGCCGAGATGCCCAAGCTCCAGGTGCTCGCTCTCGCGCGCAACCGTCTTTCTGGCGACGTCCCCGCATCTATCTTCTACAACACCTCAGCCGCCGGGAGCTCCTCCCTCCGCATCGTGCAGCTCGGGTACAACGAGTTCGCCGGGCTGGCTTTGCCACCACAGGGCCAGCACGCCTCCACCGCTCTCCAGGTCCTGGACCTCAAGGAGAACCGCCTCACTGGCGATTTCCCGGCATGGTTCACCAATGCCACGGGGCTCACCGTCTTGGACCTCTCTGGGAATACCATCAGCGGCTCACTGCCGCCCGAGATCGATCGTCTCGCATCCCTTCAAGAGCTTCGCCTTGGACGGAACTCCATGGCCGGGCCGGTCCCGGGGGAGATAGGTCGGTGCAGCGCCCTCCAGGTTCTTGATCTCGAGGAGAATCAATTCTATGGTCGGATACCAGCCGCTTTTGGGAGCCTCAGCCTGCTGAGGGATCTCTATCTCGGCGGCAACCTCTTCTCCGGTGTTATTCCCGCGAATCTTGGCAACTTGTCCGAGCTGCAAACAATTTCGCTCTACGGGAACAAAATTTCCGGCGCGATCCCGGATGAACTGATGAAGTTAAGCAACCTCACAACGTTGGACCTCGCCGGCAATGATATCTCCGGTGAGATTCCTTCCACCATCGGAGACCTCGCTGGGCTGCAGACGCTAAACCTGAGCAAGAATAGCCACACCGGCGTCATTCCGGCGGGAATCGGCAGGTTGCTGAATCTGAAGTCACTGGACCTCAGCGGCCAGAGGAACCTTTCCGGCGACCTCCCTGCGGAGCTGTTCGGGTTGCCAAGCCTTCAGGTGATCTCTCTTGCGGACAACGCATTCTCCGGCCAGGTTCCTGAGGGTTTCAGCAGCCTATGGAGCTTGCATGTCCTCAACCTCTCCGCCAACTCCTTCTCCGGCCCAATCCCAGCGACCTACGGCTACCTCCAGTACCTCAGAGTTCTCTCGTTATCCTACAATAACATCACCGGCGAAATCCCCGCGGACTTGGCCAACTGCTCCAACCTCACTGTTCTCCAGCTCCGCTACAACCACTTGTCCGGCCCCATTCCAGAGGACCTCGCCCGGCTTTCTGCTCTCGTGGAGCTCGACCTCGGCCAGAACAATCTCTCTGGAGATATCCCGCCGGATATCTCTAACTGCACCTCTTTGGTGACGCTCAAATTGGACGGCAACCATCTCTCCGGCGATATTCCAGAATCGCTTTCCAATCTTTCGAAGCTGCAGGCACTAAACCTCTCTGACAATGACCTCTCCGGATCCGTTCCCTCGGCGCTTGCCCGTATCTCCGGACTGGTGTACCTCAATGTGTCGGATAATAGCCTGAGAGGAGAGATTCCAGGCTTGCTGAGCTCCCGCTTCCGTGATCCATCGTCATTTGCTGGGAACCCGGACCTCTGCGGCCAGCCGTTGCAGACAGAGTGCCGGAGGCGCAAGAAGAGTTATATCATCCTGGTGATCGGCCTCGCGGTGGCCGCGGCCTGCATTCTGGTTCTCTTTTGTTGCTGCTTTGCTTTCAGCCTGTTTCGCTGGCGCAGGCGGTTCCTGGAGAGCCGAGCCGGCGTGAAAAAACGGAGCTCCGGAAGAGCCAGCGGATCGAGCGGAGGGAGCGGAGAGAACAACGGCGGTCCGAAGCTGGTAATGTTCAACAATAGAATCACCTACGCCGAGACGGTGGAGGCGACACGGCAGTTCGACGAGGAGAACGTGCTCAGCCGCGGCCGCCACGGGCTGGTATTCAAAGCGTGTTATAACGATGGCACCGTGCTGTCCATCCTCCGCCTGCCGTCAACGTCCGCGGACGGGGCAATCGTGATCGAGGAGGGAGCGTTCCGCAAGGAGGCGGAGTCACTGGGGAAGGTGAAGCACCGGAACCTGACGGTTCTCCGCGGTTACTACGCCGGTCCCCCGCCAGATGTTCGACTGCTGGTCTACGACTACATGCCCAACGGCAATCTTGCCACCCTCCTCCAGGAGGCGTCTCAACAGGACGGCCACGTCCTCAACTGGCCCATGCGGCACCTCATCGCCCTCGGCGTAGCCCGCGGCCTGGCGTTCCTCCACGGCTCCGGCGTCGTTCACGGGGACGTCAAGCCGCAGAACGTCCTCTTCGACGCGGACTTCGAGCCCCACCTCTCGGACTTCGGACTGGAGCCAATTGTGGTGACGGCGGGAGCAGCGGCGGCCGCTGCCGCAGCGTCAACGTCGGCGGCGGCTCCAGCCGTGGGGTCGCTAGGGTACGTGGCGCCCGACGCGGCAGCGGCTGGGCAGGCGACGCGGGAGGGGGACGTGTACAGCTTCGGGATCGTGCTACTGGAGCTGCTGACGGGGCGGCGGCCGGGGACGTTCGCGGGGGAGGACGAGGACATCGTGAAGTGGGTGAAGCGGCAGCTGCAGCGGGGGCAGGTGGCGGAGCTGCTGGAGCCGGGCCTCCTGGAGCTGGACCCGGAGTCGTCGGAGTGGGAGGAGTTCCTGCTGGGGGTGAAGGTAGGGCTTCTCTGCACCGCACCCGACCCCCTCGACCGCCCGTCCATGACCGACATCGTCTTCATGCTCGAGGGTTGCCGCGTCGGGCCCGACCTCCCTTCCTCCGCCGATCCCACCTCCCAGCCCTCTCCCGCCTGATTTCCTTTTTTCCTTCTAAATTCCTTTTTGTTAGTTTCTTTGCATTGCATGTATCATTTTTTTTCCGTTTTCTTTTTTCTAAATTCAAAATGTTTCCTCATTCGTTTGTTACTGCTCGTCTCCGGTTTGGCTTCGCGCCGGTGGGCGACATCGACTTCGTCGTCGCGGTTCACTCCCGCCAAAGAACGAGAGAGAAAGAAGGAACCACCCACGTCGACGACGTAGCCGTTGGGAATGGGAATCTTGGCGCTGTTGTCGTCTAGTGTTCCTCTTAAACCTCGAGAAGTGGGGGCGGGTGGTCAGTAAGTACTGACTTCTCCTCTGCAATGACCGACCCGTTTGGCATCGTTGGATTCCATTTGGACGGCCCGATGCTTCGTGCTTGGTGCCCCTCCTCCGATCCGACGATTGAGGTTTGTCTGTTTCGTTTCACTTTCATCGGGAAACGGCTGAAAAGGAAATAAAACGCTTTCTCGCCTTCTTATGTTGCGTTCCCCGTTAATGTTGTCACCGCCGCGTTCGGGATACGGTTTCCCGGACACCGAAGCAGGACCTGGTTGGGCCACCCAGAATAAATAATGGTCAGGGAATTTGGTGCGGCACGAATGGCTCGGGCTGATGGGGACGCAGACGACCGTTTGCTCCGTAAAATCTCTATCATCCATTTAAATTAGATTCAGAAACTTGCAGAGTATGATTCTAATCGGTCGTCAACTCTTAAAGATTCCTCAGTGCATCACATTCATATACTAATATCTCAGACTTCGCGGTCAATGTCTCGATAATTTTACTTGGGTCGCAGTGACATGACCGAACACCAGCAACGAAATCGATAGCATCACCTGAGGAAAAGATCTGTGCTCCCAAGTCACGTCAAATCGGATTTAATTGCAAGATCTGATCGCCCGTGCAATCCAACGATACTTAAGGAGAAGTAAATGCAGTGGAATTCGGCTACATGCAGTAGACGACGCAGGGAGCAGAGTACTGCGCTGCCGTGCCAACGCACCTGACGCAGCAGAGCCATTGAACACACCCCATGTGACAGAAACGAACAAATGACATCTGCCACTGCAACGATATGAATTAGGAAGAGCATCTTATCGGTCGCCAAAAGGAAATCACAGCACATCTGCTGAAGATTATTGAGAAGACATGCTAATGATTTAGGCAAATGGAAAGGAAAAAGACCAATCATATTTTGATTTAAATCAAGGCATTTTCTTTTGTCACAGTGCAAGTACAACATGCACCTCCAACACGGCATGTGATCCCTCGGTGGTCATGTCTCTGCAAATAGCCCCTTCTCTTAACATGTTGAGCATCGACACAGTGGATGGCTGTCTCAGGTAAATTTTGCTAGTGAGATTTCGTAGGGTTTTTACTCTGGAATGGGCCGAGGAGCTATTTGTTTATGAATGCATAAGATGTTGCAGTTTTTTTGTACTTGTTATTCCTGCTGTATCAAACACAGGAAATCATTGATCCATCAGCATCAGAAAAATGTTAAAAGTAACCAATCAACAATGTTCTTTGATTGATTTGATCTACTATGTGCTTGTACCACAGAATGAATTGATGGATCCAGGAAAACAAATATGGAATGTCTGTCGCATTTAGAGTGGTGAAATGGGTCACAGAGAAGGTTTTGAATGAAGAAGCTGACAATGGCCTCTTCAGGCGTCGGAACATGTCATTAATCGTGAGTGAGTTCCTTTTCTACCAGCAAAGGCTTCATTGCAATGAATTACTATACCGCTTATGTTCTATACTATTTCATCTTACTGTAATATTTAAACTTATGTTTGGGATAATATGATTCTGACGTTATTTACAGTCAAATTAGTACTCTTAATGAAAACAAATAGAATTATAGTGTTAAGTCAAAATTTCATCATTCGATTATGACTCTGACTCACAATTAATTGATTAGAATATTGGCTCTGAGAATATAGTTGGTTGAATGTCAAGATTTTAGAATCTGAATGCACAAAAACACACACACAGTTTCATGATCATTATTGCTGAATCTACACATTGATTTCATGGATGATTATGCATTTTTCATTATTGCTGAATTGTGTGTTGTGTCAAATCGAGAAAATATATGATAATTTTGATGATGATGATGTTGTATATATAGTGTTAATGTGTTATCATATAGTATCGAGGTGTTGATTACGTAGTGTTAAGGTACTGTCACGGACTTAGTTGGTTTTGCCTAGATCGTGCGGCACCCTTGCATGTTCATCCGCAAAGGTCAACATCCCCGAAGCCTCTTATTGTCCCTTAGGACCAACAAAAGAGAGAACGGGTTAGAGAGAATGCTTCAATCGGGATCCACAAGCAAACATATCCGAAAACACTTTATAGACAATGCAAATTACAAACATACTTTACAAGCTCTGAACAGTTGCACAACAAAAGGTAAAATGGTCCATTACAGGCCGAAAATCTCTCGCACGTGTCCACATGACACAATCTTTATTTACAAGCCTAAAGCGGCCACCAATCTAACTAAAATGAGACTATTAAACCTTCGATCATCCCTCTACATGCTGTACAAAGCATGAACATACATAAGCATTACATCAAACATCCTGTTTAGAAGTTTGTCCGTGACAGTACGTCAATTGTATCGTTATTTTCCTATTATATGGTTTTACCATGGCAATTGACCTTCGGAACAAGATAAGCAACAAGCGACACGATGATCACGTCTTTAGTCACTAATCATGCAGGAAGTAGCTGAGGGATTTGAGAGCCTACCTGCGACTGATCAAGTGTTGCTTTTGTAGCTCGTCTTTATGCGATTGGTTCTTGTTTGTCATTGATGAGTTAGGCTTTCATTGGAATGGGTAAAAAGGGGCCTGAAATTGTTCGAACAGGATTGAAACTAAAGATTTGGCCATTGGAATCCAAATTGACAATATCAAAATGACCAGAAGAACATTATTATTATTACGTATAATAAGTTTGAGGAAGTGACTAAACCAATAGAGTGTATAGTAATTGGTCAGCTTCGATTGGTCTCATTCCAAGTTGGTTGCTTATCACTTGGTAGGTCAGCTTGGAATCCGCAACACAAGGATGAAGAGGTGGTGGTTGATAGCAGCGACATCAGCAAATCAAGATATAGACATCCATATAGTATTCCCACGCGAACACCGTCGAGTCGATTACTCCCCCAAATACCATAGTTGGCAGCGTCGCTGCGTTGCCACTCCACCACCCGTCTCCGCCGCCCCCGCATAAACCGCACAAGCCTCCGGGCGTGATCTGTTCGGTCCCATGGCGTCCGCCTCCCCGAGTCAAACCAAAGCGGCAACGGCAAGCCAGCCGGTGCAGGAGGCAAAAGCCCTCCAGCCCAGCGACACCCCCTCGAGCGGAGAGGCCGCCAGGTTCCGTGTGGCTCTGGCCGCCAACTGCTGCCTTCTGCTCGTCGGCGTCTGCGGCGGCGCGCTGTTGGCGTGGTGGGCTCTCTCCTTCCACCGGTCCAACGAGCAGCTGTGGATGGTACCCGTCGGCCTGGTCCTGCTCGGCACGCCAGTCTTCGTCTGGCTCTCCATCTTCGCCTCCGGCGTCTGCACGTGCCTCGAGCTGCTCTGGACTGCGCCTGCCGTACCCCGGACGGCGCCACCGCCGGACCTGGACCCAGAGAGATGATCAAGAGTGCACAAAGCTTCTCCGTCCTCGCATGCATGCTTCGTTTCCTCTCGTTCTTGTCGGAGTAATGGCAAAGCATACAAAACTATGCGGATCGGATTACCCATTCAATTTTGTTTGGTTTATCTCACCAAGAGATCGTTGCTACTGTGTCGTTTCTTTCATGTCGATGTAAGATTAAACCGTAATGCCAAAAAAAATAATCATCAAAAATTGATCTTACTAACATCCTATGATCATAATCGATGGTAGTAACTAAAAAGTTATATCCTTTCCCTGAAACTATTGTAAGTTTTATGATTACATAGCTAAAAGGGTCTATCAAAAGATAATTAGAAGATTATATCACGCATCAAAATTATCTTTTAAATATAAATTTTTTATTAGTTTTATAATTTTATGATTAATATATTAAGTGATTCTGATGTTAGATTTAAATATATTAATTATTATATCAATGAAATAAAACCAGAGACTGGAGGGAAAAAGACGCTCATTTCGGTAGTGCCTTTCTTTAGTGACCGATTGATTGAATAGACCCACCTTTAGCAGGTTCATCTGCCATGGGAAAGCAATGACAGGAAGTCTCACTACCCTCGACGGAAATGATCGATCACAACAACAAAGGTGAAAGGAGAGAGAGAGAGAGAGAGAGTTGAAATGAGGTTGGCAAATAGGGGAGAAACAACGTGCGCACACGGCGCTCGTCTTTGGCCTTCTTCCTCCTAAATGCAACGAGGTCAGAAGACGACTACACCAGAAGCATCGACCCCTACTTCTGCAGCAATCATTCTTCCAAGTTGTTTACCTGGGAAGAGGGATTTGGCCCGGTGGGACGGGTGGAAGACTTTTCCGCGACACCAAAGTCTAAGAAGTCGACTGCACTCCTTTTAAAACCCGTCACACAACTGCTGCTAGTATAATCTGCATGTCGTCTTCCGGACTATAGCTGCAGTTTGGATTTGTACTGCTACGTGGTTGACCATGAGATCACAAAGGGAATCAGTGACAGCAAATTTATGGGCGACGGTCTGTGGAGCAGTATTGAACAGGCCAATAGGGCCAACTTGCTCGACAATGGCCATGTTCTTAGTAAACATGGAGTGGAAGTTTGGTTCATCTTGTGGATTAAATGAAGTTTCTCGGGAACCACACACAAAGGAAGCATCAACGTAGAGTAGATTCGAGATCATCTTATCGCATCGATCCATGGTATTTTTAGATTTTGATGGCAAGCACTTAAGGTTTGATTCGTTGAGAGTACAGTCCTTTGTAAATGCTCATGTTGGAGATGTCGCAGGATATCTTTCCACGGCCGACGCACTTCTCATGGTGAAACTTGCAAGCAATGCATTCTTGTTTCACTCGCTGTCACTCTTCTCGACCCTATGCTAACTTCATGTCAAGGATTCTTCAGGACATAAATTGCCATGGAATCTTCTCCTGTTGCCGTCTAATGATTACATGATGGCACAAGGATTTGGATTCTCTTCTATCCTCTCCAGATTGTAGGCTGCGTACGGGTTGACCGACGCTGCTCTCATTTGTTGTTGAGGCTCGTTCGTCTCTTCCTTCTTGGCCTCCTCCGCCTTCACCGGCCCCAGGGAAACTATATCGGCGGGCCAGAATTTTCTGAGTTTGATCAAAACCTTCAGAGGATTGACGGATCCGATCACCGTCATCTTTTTCTCTTTCATGTCCATCCCAATGAAATCGATCTCTGGTCCACGCAATGCACAGGGAAAGAACCCAATCATCATGCGGTAAAAGGAAGAAAAGGAAAAAGGAAGGAGGATGAATACCTTCAAAGCCACAGACATCCTTCATGGCCTTTCCTTTGGCCTTGTCATCGTGCAGGTCCAATTTGAACACAGTCTTCTGCAAGTTAAGCACACATCATGAGAAACAAGACGACAACTTTCGAGTCCACATTAGAGTTCAGAGATGCGCAAATCATCAGCATATGGCTGGAGCTCAAGTTTGAGAGTGACAAAGAAATCAAGTTGATCGAAAGATAAAGCTAAGCAGAGAAGAGAAAAAAAGAACACAACGTAGCTACAAGAATCATCATTTATTCAGTAAAGGAAATCGAGAATCCAACAGCCCAAATCTAAATCTCACAATCATTTCTCGAAGGAGCTGATAAAGGAGGAAAAAGAGAGGAAGAGATTGATGAGACTTCGATGATGGAGAGAAACGAGGCCCTCACTCGATATAATTTTTCTCCCCTCTCTCCTTACGATACGATGAATCCCTTTCGAAATTATAGATATCAAGATACACCACTTGAAAGGCTGCATTCAGTGTCATGTACTTTAATCGTCTTCATGAATTCCCCATTCGATGGAACCTATGATTTTTGTACACCTTTTCGTGGTATCTTTCCATAATTTTATCACAATAATTTTTATTTTCTACCACAATCATCGACTCAAAGGAAAGACAAATAATATATCTTGACATCTTCTATCTTATCGAGTTAGTACTTGCGTCTCTTCGTAGGTGATCACAATGGCCAATTGCACATGAGGTTGAGCTATTGTTCTTCACGACATCACCATATCTCCACAACCACTGACTGTGACGCTAAGTTGGCCACACCAACAGTCGAACGCACGTCCAAGATGGTCTCACGCCTCTATTTCAAGTCGCGCCCTTAAAAGACGACCACCCTCTGTGTTGGCTGCTTTGTCAAGTTGGTCGTTCTCTAAGTTGATTGCTTTGTCATGTTTGGCGGCGCCTTCGAGTTAAGTCATGCTCTTAATGCAAATGCTCACACCATGTTGGCCACTTCATCAAGTTAGGTCGTGTAACCTCAAGAGGACATCACCTCAAAAGAGGCGTGCTTGTTGGTCGTTCCCTCAAGATTGATGTGTCTTTGAGTTGGCCTTACCTTTCTAAGATAGATCGCACCTTCAAGACCATCAAATCTTTAAGAGTGTCCCATCATTCCAAAACGATCATGCCTATGCCTTGAGGACCACACATCCTTCAAGATGATCATATTGTTCCAATATGACCGTGCCTTCAAGATCATCACATCAAGTTGTTGTTCCAAGTGCGCTTCTAATTCACTAAATTATGTCCTATTCATTGCGCCCTACAAGCACTAATGAATATGGTTAAAAGTATATTGAAAATCAAATTACTATCTAAGAAATTTTTGTGTATATTTTAAATTTATCTCTCTCAAAAAGTATAAACATAACACCACCTCAAGAAGCATGGAGTGATTATAAATTTGATGTGACTCATCTTAGAGTTTTTGGGTGATAAGACAGAAACCTGTATATTTTTAAGCTACAGTGACAATTCAAAGGCTTACAAGCTTTATAATCTCATCATTGAGAAAATTATAATTAGTAAAGATATTATTTTTACTGAAGAAAAGCTTTTAAATGGATTTTGGATGCAAGTAAATTTATTACGATTGATCAAAGAGATACAAATAATGAAGATACAAATGAACAAATAGTTGAGGAGCTCGATACATCACGAGGATCTCCTTCCCTGATAGAAGATAAGATTTCTCCAACTATATGAGGAAATCTTTCCTCCTAATCTGTATAAATAGGAGAGGGATAGTAAAGCTAAAGCTTCTTATCTGTATAAATAGGATCAAAGCTTTGATAAAGCTTCTTTAATAATTATTCTTATTTTCTATTCTTTTTATCATGGTATCATAGTAGTGAGAAAAGCGAAGCTTCGCTCTTGCCTTTAGCCAGCGACCAACGCCATTGAGAAAAGCAAAACTTCGCTCTTGCCTTCGGCCAGCGACTCACAAAGTCTCTTGCTCGTAAGTCATTCTTTGCATCGATCCAAGATTGGTATCCTTGACAGGAGCACCATCTTGCGGGGGCATGATAGAAGATAATATCTTTCCTCCTAATCTGTATGAATAGGAGAGGAGATGTTAATGTAGTAAAGCTAAAGCTTCTTATCTTTAATAAAGCTTATTCAATAATTTTTCTTATCTTCTATTCTTTCTATCATCCCCAGCTAGAGATTCTTCAAGCCCATCATCTTTAGAAAATTATCAACATCGACATCTCATATAACTTGTAAGAGAATTAGAAGACAATTAGGATGGATAAAAAATTATATATGAATCTTTATAATTTTATAGATCCTAAAGAAAATTAAATATGGAAGATGATATCTGATTATGTTTTCTTTTTAGTATCTAAAGCGGTTTTATGGTATGAAACAATCCAGAAAAATATATTACAATAGTAACATTTTTTTAATATGAATATTTGGTTTTAAAATTATTCAAATATCTAATTAATTATAGTAGAAATAAGTATATTCGTGTAAGATACCACTTCTTATAATATAAGTAAAGAATAAGATGATGGAGATGGATTATTACGACCAATTTATAGATATTGGAGTTTAAAAAAAAGTATTAAAATAAGAGAGTATATTAGAGATTGTAATTTAAATTTGATTGAAATTAAATTAGTAGTTTGAGTCCTAATTTAATTAGGGTTATGACTTTATAGTTTAGATATATAAATAGACTGTGTCATATTCACCGACCGCACCCCAAGCCAAGATAGAAGTGCAAAAAGGAGAGGGTGAGACATTGTTATGCATTATTACGTAAACCTTCAAGTATAACAATAACAACAAAATTGTAAATCCCAATCATTTAATTAATCAAATTAAAATAATTCATAGTTTTTAATATTGAATCATTAATTTTTTTTTGGTTTAATCATTCCGATTTGATTTAATTTTTTTGGTTTAATTTAAACACCCCCTAACGACCGTCCCAAAGAGAGTTCACACGTGTGGGAGTAATTCTAAGAGAGTCGAAACGTGTGGAAGTGACATCTCCGAAAATATCAAGCCAAGTCGGTGACGTTTTGGTCAAGCACACTACCCTAAGAGCCCGACGGGCGCCGCGCTGCGTCTTCGTTCTCACCACACACTCTCTCTCGCTCCCATGGCCACTCGTTGAATCCACCGACCGACTCCTCTCTCCGTCTCTCTCGTTTCTTCTTTCTGTTGGGTGATTTCTTTTACCGGCATTCATTGGTTAGGCAATTGCCAACACCAAACGACCGACCTCTGTATTGGGGAGGCCAAACAATAGCCCATGGCGGCCGGGATCTCCGCTGCTGCTACCACCCTAATCTCGTGCTGCTTCCCCAGGGAGCCGTCCCTTCCTCTAAAAGCGGCGGGCGACTGCTTTCTCCTCTTCGGGTCTTCCCCCGGCAGGGCTTCCGCGCTTCGACTGTGGCGGCGGCGAGCCACCGCGGTCTGCTTCGTGCTGAAGGAGGTGGGCAAGGACGCGGAGAAGAATAGCCGGTATACGTCGACGGAAGTTGATCCCCAAGGGGAGGAGACGGAGAGATCAGACGCGCTGCGGGCCTCGTCGGAGCGGCGCACGGCGGAGAGGACCGCGAGGAAGCGGTCGGAGCGACGGGCGTATCTGATCGCGGCGGTGTTGTCCAGCCTCGGCATCACCTCTACGGCGGTCGCCGCCGTCTATTACCGTTTCTCCTGGCAAATGGAGGTCGGCCGCTCTGCCTCACATCGTGCGCGTTCTTTATTCGACTTGATTTAGGGAAAGATTTCTTTTTTCTTTACGACTAGTAACAGAGGAACTAATCTGCGCGGCAGGGAGGAGAGGTTCCGGTGACGGAGATGTTCGGGACGTTCGCTCTCTCTGTCGGCGCGGCGGTAAGCCCTCCTTTCTGTCCTATTTCTTCTCTCTTGTCGCTTCGATCCGACGGCTTATCGAAGACCCAGATTCGATTTTGTTCTGGGTGGGTGGGTTTAGGTGGGGATGGAGTTCTGGGCGAGGTGGGCGCACCGGGCGCTGTGGCACGCATCGTTGTGGAACATGCACGAGTCTCACCACCGGCCGCGCGACGGCCCCTTCGAGCTCAACGACGTCTTCGCCATCATCAACGCCGTCCCCGCCATCTCCCTCATGGCCTACGGCTTCCTCAACCGCGGCCTCCTCCCCGGCCTCTGCTTCGGCGCCGTAGGCCTCTCTTCATCCCCTCCCCTCCCCTCCCCTCCCCTCCCGGGTTCTCCCGGTCTCGTCTCCTCCCATTTCCTTCACCATCTCCGGCTGACACGAGCTCCGCGTGGCCAAAACCTGCAGGGCCTCGGGATCACGCTGTTCGGGATGGCCTACATGTTCGTCCACGACGGGCTGGTCCACCGCAGGTTCCCCGTGGGCCCCATCGCCAACGTCCCCTACTTCCGCCGGGTGGCCGCCGCCCACAAGGTACCGCCGTCCGTTTCGGTTGACGTCGCACATCGACGACGACACCAACGCGGGATAGTCTAATCTCGTTCACATCTTTTTGTGTGGCTGCTGGCAGATTCACCACATGGACAAGTTCGACGGGGTGCCGTATGGGCTCTTCTTGGGACCCAAGGTGAGGCCGTGGCTCCAACTCGTTGGTTGCAAACATCGGAGCACAAAGACAAAACAGTGGAAGAACAATGACGCCCCCGATCCCAGAAACATCTAATGTGTACGTGCCTCTGTGAACGCAGGAACTGGAGGAAGTGGGCGGCTTGGAGGAGCTGGAGAAGGAGATCAGCAGGAGGGCCAAGCTTTCCGACAACTCCACCAACCTTAGCAGCTAAAAAGTTGTTGACGCTTGCAATCTGAGGAACACAGGAAATCTCGAGTTTGATGTGCAGAGAGACGTACGTATTTTTGACGTAGAAATGTACAATGGAGAGACATGATGCATAATTATTTACCGTGTAATCATCTTTCTATGAATATGAAAAGAAGCGCATGTGCCGCGTGTGGTATAAAGAACTCCTAAATTGAGCACAGAGGTCTTCGGCGGCATCCACGTGGAAATTAATATATAGGTAGACAAGTAATTGACTTTGGTCAATTTACGTACGTGGCGTGGCGGTTGACATGAAATCATGTCGTGTGTCCGTCCATAAGAAATAGTACTATGATGATGGAAAACCAACATATCCCATAATCCATCCAATTAGATTAATTACTGCTATCATGATTATTGGTTGCTAAATTAAAAATACTAAAAATATATAATATCCATAATCTATGGGTATAATTAAATCAAGAATATTAGAATTGAATTTTAAAATTTTGCGCGTGCACGCATATATATATATATATATAATTTTGCGCATGCGCGCGCGCACACACACACACACACACACATATATATAT